CATTCTTCTGTCATATTAAATATTGCTTAAATGATACAAATACATCGGTTTTTTTATTGAATATTAAAAAAATCGTAACATCTGTTATTTTTACCGGTTTTTCTGACACTGCAAAAAAAAGAATATATTAATATTTTGTAGTCGACAGTACTTCTCATTTGGTATAGTAACCTAGCTTGTAATTCAATATCGCGGCTTAGGCGCACTGTTTCAGGTCAATAATTAATCAATATAAGTACTAAGTTATATAATATGTTCTAGATGTATAATTAGGTCAAGTGTCAGAATTTTAAATTCAAAACCGTTGACAGGATAAAAATAAATATACATATTTAATCTGTTGGCTTCTTCTACCTGGCAATTTCCCAGCTATAGCCAGGGTCTGACTTACATATTGTAAATAGTTTTGGCAATTTTTTTTGCGACCGGCCGCCTGCCTGACATCAACCTTCTATGGGAATGCATTAATCAGTGATGTCTAAATACTCTTAGAAAGTACATATGACTCGGAAAAATCTCATTGGTACTTATATTTAGTTTGTAGGCTGTATACAAAAATATAAAAAAAAAATTTGTTTACTTTATAACTATTTATTTTCTATATTCCTAATAACAAGATTATAATCTTATTAAGTTATAATCATCGACCCCTTTAAACGCTTGCGGGATTGTTGCATTAACTTTTAACATAGTTATTACTAATGAGTTTACTAGATAATAGAAAATAAGTAGAAGAAATACATTTTAAATTAGAACTAATACTATTAAATTATTATTTTTGACAAATAATTTTAGTCGTAAAAAACGTTATAACATTTTTTTAGTTAAAGTTTAAGACATTTTTAAATGACATTTGACATGAGACTCAAATAAAATAATGTGGCCAAAGTCTCTATAATACATCGATCTAATTATTTAATTCTTATGTTGTACAAATGTTTCAGGCAATAATCTTCTATTTTATTTGATAAAAATTAACAATAATATAGTTTAGACATGAAAAAGAGGCGAAGGTTACATATTATTAAAACCGTAAATATTACTGATTAATTACACTACACACTTCTCTCTTATGAGCCCAATGTCGAAGTTGAGAACAAAAACTAGTATCATATATAACAATACTAGCTATTGCCGCGACTCCGTCCGCGTGGAATAGTGACTTATGGCAGATTTTTGGTTCTTCCCACATAGTTCCCGTTCTTGCGGGGTTTTCGGAATGGTCGAGTTCCCGTAGAATTTTCAGGATAAAACCTATGTTTTTTTTTTATTTACAATGAAGTACTCTTAACTATCAACATATTTATTTGTTTATTTGAATAAAGATTAATATTATTATGTTGATACAACTTAAACAAATTATTTCGACCAAATTAGGTACCATAGAAACGGTTTTTGTGAGTTCATCTTAAAAGATAGACATATACTGTCCCGGACTGTTTTTTAGATCATTAAAAGAGCTATTATTCTTTAATACATATTTTTTGTGTATCTTGAACCGTTTTGACGGCGCACGCAACGGAAGGCTTCAAAGATGAAATAATTTCTCCCGTTTTTTACACATTTACCACTATATCTTTGCTCCTATTGGTCGTAGCGTGATGTTATATAGTCCACAGCCTTCCTCGATAACTGTATTATCCAACACAAAAGAATTATTCAATTCAACCTAGTTTATAGTTTTTGAGATTAGCGCTTTCAAACAAACAAACAAACTCTTCAGCTTTATAATATTAGTATAGATTGTGGTCTGCTAAAATGTTTATGCATATTTTATTTGTGTAAGGGCTGAAATCAAAGAGGTTTAATATGAAGTATGAACACTTAAATTTATGACCAAAAAACCAAATTAAATAAACTGTCATTATTTATAATTTTAATTTTGTAGATGAACATAAAAAATAACTAAGATAAAATAAATAGCTTAATCAATTGCTTTAGTTTAACTACCTACATAGGTTTTTTAATTTCGTTAAAATGGCGAAAAACCATAATATTAATATTTATTTATAAGATAAAGATGCAATAAACAATGAAAGAAAAATATTTTAATAATACGTCAAAAAAGTCAGTGGTGGCCTAGTGGTTAAAGGGCCCTCCTCTCGTTGTCGAGGGCGCGGGTTCAAATCTGGCAAGTGGCAAGTACCAATATGATTTTTCGGAGTCATATGTATTTTCTGAGAGTTTTTAGACACGACTGACATACGGTGAAGGAAAACATCGTGAGGAAACCTGGACTTATAGTTTCACAATTATAAGTTTGAAATCACCAACCCGTCTTAAGCAAGCGTGGTGATTGATGCTCAAAACCTTCTCCATGTGAGAAGAGGCCTTTGCTCAGCAGTGGGCTCTGATAGGCTGATGACGATGATGATGACGTCAATGAGGAATAACGTTCCAAAGACGGCCTTATCGATTGCAGTAAATTCATCAAGAGTCTATAGGTACTACTTATGGTTTAAAAAACAGAATGTTTCAAATAAATTGTAGAGACATAGATAAATACTAGAAGACCCGGCGAACTTCGTTTCGCCCTATAATCAAGAAATATCTGTTACGTTTTTTTATTTATATTTTTGGAGTTTACCTATTAAAGCCATAAATCTCCGTGTTTTGAAGTGATTAGGAATGATTAATAGTTAATATGAGAGTTACACTGAGCTAGCAAAATAATAATTGTCAACGTTACTACTACACTTGATGCACAAACAATAACGATGGCCGACAACTGTGTAGGGAGTGAGAGAAGTCTAATTGTGTGAGAGAAACAGAAGACCGGCTTCGTTCTCATCCCTACTCCGTGCTGTTTACTGGGTCAGAAGTGACACCTGTAGATATCTGGCGGGGATAACTTATTAAATGACGATTGATCAGTTATCGACCGGAGATGAAAAATGATTAAATTACTAAAATAGCTATTAAAAAATAAGGGTTGATCGTAGAAGGGTGAAAATTTAGGATTGTATGTATTTTTGTACGTTGTATCATAAAAAAATAGTAATTAAAAATTTTGTCTAAAAAATAAAAAAAAAAAATTTAGGGGTGGACTACCCCTAACATTTAGGGGGATGAAAAATAGATGTTGGCCGATTCTCATAGCTACCGAATAAGCACAAAAAATTTCATCAAAATCAGTCAGGTTGTTTCGGAGGAGTATGGGCACGAAAACTGTGACACGAGAATTTTATATATTAGATAAATATTAGTGAGATTTTAGATTTTTATAATTAGTCATTTAAATGAAACTATATTTTCAGATTTACTACGTGATTTTTCATTTTTGACTATAAACTACTTACTCTACTACGTTTCGGTTACTTTACAGCAACCGTGACCACGGACAGACGAGATGTGTCTCACATCTTTAAATAGAAATATTTATTCAAAGTTATATTACATAAATTATTAATATTATTTTATCAATTATTATAACGGTTAAATTGTTCTTTTATAATTATTATTACAAAATCAAATGCTAAAAAGGTTTAAGTCAAGAGATATATTTTCCTTGTTTGTTTTTGGCGCCATAAAAAGCTGTACGCCATCTTCAGGATTGAAAAGAAATTAAACTAACGTTCCTATAATGAAGTTTGATTGCACGTGACAAAATATTGAAAAAATATTATAATAATTTTGTTAAAAATAAATACAAAACGATATTTTAATTATATTTGTTTTATATTGAATGTATCAAAAATTAAAAAAATATTAATAATAGTTACACAGCGCATGTCTGAAATAAGCGATCGAAGATTCACAATCTGGAACGCAGGCGCGATAAATCGTTCTCTCCCTCTTTGTTAACTTCTCTGTCTAACCCTGTCCTTTTGTGATAATTTGCGAAACGTCTGCTACGTTTCCGTGTGGAAAAAAAATTATACTAAAGAAATCACATTAGGGCATGGTCGATACAGTTTTTCAGTCGAAAACCCGTGATATAAAATCTGACGTGATTAAGTTTTTTCGTGCCAAGTGCAACTAAACTATCAAGATTCCGCCGATAATTCAAAGCCTACCCAGTGGGTGGCTTAAATTGGTAAGTAAAACAATATTTACAATATAATTAAGATTAAAGAGCATGTTTTTATCATAAATAAATATTTATTTAACGTTTGCATCTCGTGTCGCTGCGATATAGAATTAGCAGCTGCAAAATGGTTATGAAATCTTTAGCGTTATAATTCTACTAAACATTCTATCAATATGTGTATCGTATGTATTATTGTATGTTTTAACCAGTTTATAGAGGTATTTATCATGAAAAACTGCCACATACTGCTCTTTACGTTACATTGTGTCGTAATTTTACGTCATCTCGAAATTGCCACAGGTACTAAAAATATTTTAAATAGTCAACGCATCGAATATTCTAGAATTCTTATCGAAAATGTATGTAGTATGTAAAATTAATAATTTAGTTATATTTTTTCATTATTACAAATATTGTTCGATCATTAGGTTTGATATATACGCGCCAGCCTCAAGTAGCAAACTCTAGCAGTTGCCACTTACTCGTAAGAAGGTATCTTGTTAATAAACGTTATTGGGAGCCATTTAAACCAATTGGGATCACAATATTTCATATAGAAATAATTTTGTTCAGTATAAAAGCCGTCATTACGTCTTATCGTATGTGTAAATGTAATTTACAAAATGATAATTGCATTATCAAGTACCTTAATACTAACATTATTTAAACATTGATAAAATATAATATATTGCATTATAATTATATGGAATTCTTTTGAAAATGTTTATTGATATATACATATATGTCTATTTGATAATATCCTATTATGTAGTTTAATGGAGACAAGACTTACTATGTAGTATATATGTATATTGTAAATAATATTTTTATATATCTATATAGAAATGGAAAAGCGTGTCTGGTTGCTTTTATAAGTACTTTTATTTAGCATGATACTTTTTTTTTCTTTTCTTTTCTTTTTTTGTTCAAACACGCTTTTTCATTTCTTTATAGGTCGAAAAGAAATAACATGGAGACGAAACGGGATTCATTCTTTAAGAAAGGCAAGAAACAAAAGCCTGATAAAAATAAGGGAGATAATAAAAAGCAGGAACGGCAGAAAAATTTTGATGAAAATCGCAATGGGATGAAGGATGCCAAAGACGAAAAGAAACCATTTGACAAAAAAGCATACCGTTTGAAGAAATACAGCAAAAAATATAAGTTGGAGCAATGGGAGGAGCAGAGAAAGAAAAGGCTGATGCAAGACTACCAGAAAATGTTAAAGAATGAGCAAGTAAGTGGTACTTACAAGCCGAAGTCATTCGATGAGGACCAGCCCGACGGTGATTCAGAGGTCGGCAAGTTTGTGAGACACCCGGATCTGATGAAAAATGATCCACCGAACCAGAAAACAAAGAAAGATCCATTCGCTAAAGCAAAAGAACAGTTCAATAAAGTCAAACAGGATAAAATTGATAAGAAACAGGCTTTGGAGCAAGCGAAGCAAGAAAGAATGCAAAAATTGCAAGAATACAAGAAGAAGAAGCAAGAAAGATTTAAGAAGTTAAGCAAGAAGAATAAAAAGGGTCAGCCAGATATGACGGGTAGATTGGAATTATTGTTAGAAAAGATACAAAGCTCCAAATGAATTTTCATTCATGTAATGAGTATTTTTTTAATTAATTGTACTGAAAATATACATATTAAAGTTTCCGTCTTTACTTATAATTTAATGTAATTGTGTCGACTTATAATTTATATTTAGACTTAATAATAAATGCTGTTTAATTGTAGATTGTATGTGTTTAATAACTGTAACGTTCCAATATAGGTACTAAATAACTCATTTACAACTGCCATTGTATGAAATAGATTTCTCAAGTTACTCATTGTATGTGGACATTTATTGTGTTTTAATTAAATAAATAGTAAGTTTTTATCTCCATTTTTATTTTTATAATTATAATATGAAAATAATATTTGTATTATTGCTAATATTAATTATTTTTTTCTGGTACTTCTTATTATTTTATTTAATCACATAATATAGTAAAACTTTTTGAAGAAATTTATTAAAATTGATAATTATGTTATATAAACGATATTTACATAATTTTGTATTTATAAAATCTAATTATTGTGCCTTTTTTTAGTGAAAGTGATAATTTTATGTATGAACTTGTGTTTCGTGATTGATAAAATATAATTACGTTAAAATTTCTGAATATATTAAGATAATTTTGGTAATGACAATAAATGATCTAGGCGCGTAGGATCCTTACTAATATTATATATGCGAAAGTAAATCTGTCTGTCTGTTACGCTTTCACGCCTAAACCACTGAACTGATTTTAATGAAATTTGGTATAGAGATAGGATCGACTTTGAAGAAGAACACAGGATAGTTTTTATCCCAGACTTGAAAGGTTCTTTTGGAAACGCGATATAACGGAACTCCACGCGGCCGAATTTGCAGCCGGAAAGCTAGTATTGAATATTTCTTGTTAGATATTTATGAGACTACACCCACAGTCTAGACTAGACCGTTCCTTCACCGTCGTACGTCAGACGACGAGTTGAAAATTTAATTATAAATGCTTTGACGCTCTCGTTTCTAATGCCTATTATTACTAGAATGATTCTGTTAGTAAAGATTTTTAATAAAAAATGGTAGCGTCATTTGTTTTTTGTTTCAAATTAATAATTCGGAGGTAAAATACTGTTGCAGAGATAACTGTTAACCATTTGAACTGTCAAAGGTGTACATTAAAATGGCGCCTTAAACAGATAAAACTATATATTATTTTATTTATCATATTATATATGTATATGTATAAATCTGTATGATATTTTTGTACTAATAAAATGATTAAATAAAATGCAAAAATTATTGTCTTTAGCAAATACAAACAAAAAGAATATTTTAATGAACGAAGTGTTTGAATTGTCAGTTGTCAGTTTCGTTGTCAAGATGGCCGTATATACAAAAGAACTAGTTTTTCTTAGAGTTGAAATAATTATATTAAGCTCATAGCTTATGACTCACTATAAAAAATATGAGTAATGAAGATTATGAATATCTAATCAAATGAATAAATTCGGTATCCGTACCTATCGTATACAGGGTGACTGGTGAATTACTATCGATATTTGAGGACGTGATATTTGACGATCATATATGACAAAATAAAAATTAATATAACATAAATATTAATAAACTTCTAAGTAAAGTTAACCAAAAGTTGTGTAATTAATTACGCATCGTATGAACACCCTACAGATTACTCTACACTACACACTCACACAAACGCGTGCGGCGGCGTGGTGTTGTATCAGCACGCCGCCGCACGCGTCCACACTTGGAACACTTGGAACGTGTACACACTTTATTTATTTATACGGAAATTTGGTCAAAAATTAAGTACCTATTTTTTTTACATAATTCGAATGAGAATCATGTACCGAGTATGCTCCTTAAATATTGATAGTAATTCACCAGTCACCCTGTATAATCAAATTTTTAATGGAATAGTTGATGTACTAGCTGTGCCTTCGACTTTGTACGCTCAGAAAAGTTACTAGTGTATCTTATATGTATTAAAATAAATAATATATATAATAAACTTTTTTATACGAGGTAGCTGTCAGTCAAGGTTTCGATAGATCATCCAGACATATATTTATCAGAACGAACAAAGATAAATGAATTTTAAAGTTGTATTGATATAAAAAATACAGATGAGATTTTAAAATCGGTAGTTTTAATACAAAAGACAACAATCTAATTTAGCCGTATAATTCTTTTCAAATGTCATTCAACTGGCATTATTATTATTAAACACGCATTACGCTTATGTTTGGGTAATTAAGGTTCTTCTTCTACCTGGCAATTTCCCAGCTATAGCCAGGGTCTGCCTTACATGTTGTGAATAGTTTTTGGCTATTTGTTTTTACGACCGGCCGCCTGCCTGACATCAACCCTCTTTTGGGAATCAACATTAATCATAAGGTTATCATATTTTATGTAATCTAGCGAAAGCCACGATTAGACCTATTGTCTGCAATGTTACCATGGTCACTGAAGAAATTTATTCCAAAAAATTTATATAGCTAGGAAATATCGTTCGGAAATTTGTATGAGAATTCATTATCTTTGTGACAAATTTATGATATTTGCATTAAAGATTTTTGTTAGTTTTTCAGAGCTATACAAATAAATACCGTTCCAGACTGTGATAATTTATGAGCAAGTTGAATTTTATTTGTTGTTCTATTAATAATTAGCTTTTCTTGAAAGCGGATATTTATGACATTAAAAGAAACAAAATAACTATTCTTAAGAATCTTTTTCTCTAACTGTTCGTTGTATATATGAATATATTTACAATTTTTTTAACTCGTAAACACTAGAAATACATAGGCTACATCATTTTTTTATATAAATTAGAACTTGTTACGAAGATAAGTTTATACAAACTAATCCATCATAATTATGTAATATGAGTAAAAAACCACAGAATGGATAAACAGGATACAGATTATATAATATTACTAACCATAAATCTAGATTAGGTAGCCATCAAACCTTGAACTTATTTTATCTTGAATAGTTAAGATATAACTCGATAAAAAACTTTTCATAAGGATTTTTTTACTAAGTCAATATATTTTATATAAATTTTTGGATTTTGAAATGTTAACAGCAACTGTGGAAAATTCAAATTTAATGCGTTTATATGGAAGTAGCTTTCCGCCCGCAGTTTCGCGTGGAGTTCGGTTATATCGCGTTTCCAAGAGAACCTTTCAAAAGTCTGGGATAAAAACTATCCTATGTTCTTTCTCAAGGTCAACTCCATCTCTGTACCAAATTTCATTAAAATCAGTTCAGTGGTTTAGCCGTGAAAGCGTAACAGACAGACACATAGTTACTTTCGCATTTATAATATTAGTAGGGATTCCGTAAACAACAATTGTCTCATTAATTTTGAGAAGTTGAGAAAATAGTTCCAATAATTAAAATATTTATTTAAATTTTCGTTTATTGTGTACCAATGACAGGTAAAACACGATTTTTTGAGGCTTTCAGACGTGCTTTGGCTGTTGATAGGATGATATTAAAACAGAAATAAGGTTAAATAAAATCCAGGCTATTTGGCCTTGCTGTTGTTATTTAGCCCTCGCTTTTGGCAAAAAGAGTATGTAGTTTAAATTTTTATATATTTAACGATATCTGTCCGTATGTGTGTGTCAGTAGCATCGTAGCTCTTAAACTGATGAACCAATTTCGATGTTATTAATTTGAAAGCCCGTTTCCTTACCATAATTCTTAGCTATGTTTAGTTAATATTGACCTCAGTATAAGAATATCAGATTTTAAGAAATCATGTTATGCATTTTTTGACGTACGATTATTCGATGAAGTGCTTCACATGTTTCAGTACAATTTTTATAACATTTAACATTTTTCATTTAAGTTCTTAACTTTCAACCTTATATGCCGATTAAATTTTTAATACGAGTTCTGAAGTGGTCTAAATGTTGGGTTAGCTTTCTTAATATTATTCCAAGTCTTTATTTTTTTCCTTATTGACCTCGCTGTATGTTTTCAATAAACATTTCCTAGTACTACAATCTGATATTTGCTCACACTATCACGGCACGTGCTGTTTACTACGCCGTCTTATTAGTTGTAATATGATCACGAAAAACATATTAAACGATAATAAATTCAATAATATTACATAAAACATCAAAAAATATCAAAAATAAGCAAAAAGTTACCCTAAAGTTATCTGTTACCATGCGAAACCCGTAATTTACAAACATAAAATTCAACTCAAAAACTCACATAAAACGATAAATTGGTATCGGTAATAAAAATAATATGCAGATCATGAATAAATTACGTGTTATAATAATAATTATACAAATATGTACACATAAAACAAAACGAGTGATACTCAGGCTTGTGACGTCATGTAAGCGGTTTCCAGCAGTGGAGTCGAGTCTCAATACACGCGATAATTAAATCAACCCACAAATCTGTACTGATAAGTGCTTACATAAAAATACAAGTTTCCTACTCGATTTAATAGTTTGCCGCCACTCGTTGTGGTGTCAGTTGACAGTTTTGACTGATTTTTTTCTTTTAAATCATCGTTGTTAGCAGCAACCATTAGGTTGTTGCTTAGACGTCCGTAAAAGCTTTGAGAATTACGCAATTAAAGGTGAGCTAACCAATATGAATACAGAATAAACATGTATAATTCAAATAAATACAGATGAGAAAAAATTAATTAATACCTAGTTAGTAATTTTGAATAATATTTTCTAAAAATATTGTTACTCAATTAAAGAAATAGTTGAAACATACTAAACAAATATATATTTTATTTGTTTTTCTATTAGGATAACTTGAAAAAATATGAAAAAACCAACAAAACATTGCATAATATCGTAAAATAAAATTACATAAGAACCCATAACGTGTACTTAAAATAAATTACAATCGCTTGTAACATTGGCCTTGCCCGCGAATTGGTTCTGGCGCGTCGCAGCGCCGCCATTTTAATGTTACGTTTGAGAAATTTAAACAACTTGTATGACCTTGAGTAACAACTGTTTTCTTTTTACACAATTCAATTATAATATAAAAACTCCAACTTCATGCACTTAGATTTTAATCATAAATAATTACTGATTAATCTATTAAAATATCTTATTATTATTTAGTAATTTTATTCGTTCACAAAAAAATCGTATATATTTTAGTACCTATAAGTATTTTAAAGAATAAAAGTCTACATATATCTTCATATTGATAAGATAAGGCATATTCTAGTAACATCTTGAAATTTTTATATAATGTATAGACTGTATACATATACTATTATTGGTAGCTATGTTTCACTAATAATGGAATCGTTCCGACTATGCACTATAAACTTTGACATTTGCAAGGTCACGAACAATTTAAATCTGAATTATTCATTTCACATTACGTAAGGCGGATAAGTTGTCATTTGACAGGTAAATTGTATGCAATTACTAAAAGGGCTTTTACTTTATAATGATGTGAAATATATATATGGATATATATATGGAGTCGATGGTTTTGTCGTTTTCTGTTGTTTGGTAAACCATTTAGTTACGAAGCGATCCATGCTAATGTGTTTCGTCTCGACTTATAAACTATTTGAATTTTGAAGTAGATACAGTTTTGCTAGCATCACGATAAAAGTAAAAGATATTTTTCCATTACATTTTTAAGATTTAATGAGATTTAAAATTTTCGTGCGTCTTACATATTCATTTAAATGAAACTAATATTTTTCGGATATACTACCTCGATCACGGTTGCTGAAAAGTAGCCGAAACGTCGGGAGTATGTAGTTTTTTTATCAAAAATAAATTCGCGTAGTTTATCCGAGAAAGATTAGTTTCATTTGAATTTTTAAGATTTTTCGATTCTGTAACCTTGATATTTCATTTATATCAATACATAGCGACTAACGTGGTTAGGGCCGTTTATATCAGATCATTTTACGAAAATAATCCTTACACTTCGCGTATGCTGTGATCAATAATTTTTATCTTATAAATATATCTGACCAAAAGTAGCTAGATAACTGAAGTGTATTTAGAGAATCTTCTAGTTTTTTAATATTTCTCAATATAAACATCTGTATATCTGTTCTTTTCAAATTTGGTTGGGTAGGGAGAGGAGCTTGGACAGTGGAGATGAGGGTATAACGCGCGTTAGTTAAGGGTCCCTTAAACCTACACCTGGGTCGCAAGTCCCAGTCACTGTTGAAGCTCCTCTCCCTGCAACGATGGACCCGACACCCGCATAATGAATACATTGAATGCTAAGAGGTTTCGTATCTGTATTGTATATGTTTTGGTCGTGTTTAAGGGAGCACCGGGTGAGTCCGGCGCAGGTCGCAGTGCCGCGCGCCACGCCGCTAGCCCCGCGGGCCGCTGCTGGCGCCGCACCCTGAACGTGGACCCTCCCTGGCTGAGACGAGCGCCCGCCCGCTGACACGACACGCTCACGAACACGTTAGTATACGAAACATATCACACACTAGCTGTCACACACAGACTTAAGAAACATCACACACTAGCTGTCACACACAGACTATCACACGATCACTGACTGCTCGGAAGAGTTCCAAATATTAAGAGAAATGAATAGTAACTACTGAGTACGATGCTATTTATACAGGGTGACTGGTGAATTACTATCAATATTTAAGGAGAATACTCGGTTCATGATTCTCATTCGAATTATGTAAAAAAAATAGGTACTTAATTTTTGACCAAATTTCCGTATAAATAAATAAAGTGTGGACACGTTCCAAGTGTTCCAAGAGTGGACGCGTGCGGCGGCGTGCTGATACAACACCACGCCGCCGCACGCGTGTGTGTGTGTGTGTGTGTATACCTAATCTGTGGGGTGTTCACACGATGCGTAATTAATTACATAACTTTTGGTTAACTTTACTTAGAAGTTTGTTAATTTTTATGTTATATTAAATTTTATTTTGTCATATATGATCGTCAAATATCACGTCCTCAAGTATCGATAGTAATTCACCGGTCACCCTGTATACTAATGAAAATTTAATTTACAGAATACACATAAGATTTTTTTTCTTGACTGTAAACGATTGGGTCAAAAAACCTCCTAATTGAAGTTAAAATAAAAAAATAGAATAATTACATTCGTATAGAAATTAATACTATAAAGTGACTTCGGTTTAACAAAATTATATAAACCATATTACTGTCGAATACCTGAATGGTTAAGACTAAATACTGTATTATATATATTCAGCTGACCCTTGTGGACTGGCCAGCTCTCTCCCACTTGACATCCGCATCTCATCTCCAACGAGCCATGAAGGTAACTGAGCAGCAGGTCAGGGTAATGCAGGGACCTTGGAGCCCTGCATCAGTAGCGAGGGACGAGGTGCTCCGCGGACATGAGGAACCCTTCTACATCATGGACCTAGGAGAGGTGGCCCGAAGGTATAACACGTGGAAGGAGCTCATGCCGCGCGTACAACCCTTCTATGGTGAGAAAATCAATTACTATCCTACTAATATTATAAATGCGAAAGTAACTCTATCTGTCTGTCTGTTACGCTTTCACGCCTAAACCATTGAACGGATTTTAATGAAATTTGGTACAGATAGAGTTGACCTTGAGAAAGAACATGGGATAGTTTTTATTCCAGACTTTTGTAAGGTTCTCTTGGAAACGCGATATAACCGAACTCCACGCGGGCGAAGCTGCGGGCGGAAAGCTAGTAATGAATAATCTAAATTATTGCAATGTAATCGAAATATCAGATGTAATGGAGGATAAAAAATGCGTGCGTACAAAGTACACATGTCAGAAGTGAAACTTCTTTGCACTGTGCGTGATACGACGTTCGCTCTGTCTCACTTTTTCTCTCAATCTTTCTCACTCGCTCCCTACTCTCACTCCACGACTAGTTGCTTCATGCTCTCTCTCTCTCTCTCGACACTTCCGTTGCATACCGGCGTGACGTTACATCTGTAAAAATTTTAGCCTCATACGCCTAAAGAAGTTTCACTTCAAAAATAACACTTGTAAAAAATGTGATGAAATGTTTCGAATATTTCGTGTTGCCAGTTTATATATTTTATATAAAACTATGTTAATTTATAAATGAGAAACTGGAAACCTGGAAAACATAAATTTATGTTTCAAAACATAATTAAAAATAAATCAAAAATCTCTATATTCAATCACGCAAAATAAAAATAAACATTTTCATAATCTTAAAATTAATACAATAAAAATTTCAACAACTATATTTTATTCTTTTAAATAGTTTCATCAGAATTCGTTAATAATTTAATTATATATGATTCCAGCTGTGAAATGCAACGACGACAAGTTGTTAGTGAGCACACTGGCTGCGTTGGGAGCAGGCTTCGACTGCGCCTCGAAGGCTGAGATAGAACTGGTCACTGGACTTGGGGTCACGCCTGAGTTAGTAATATATATTAAATACAAGCATATATATAATATATCATAGTAACATGAGAAACTATATCTTAAATACAAGAGTTATAAAATAATGAGATCCAATACTATATCTAGAACGCGTAATTTATTAAAAAAACTTTACTAAATGATAAATTATGCTTAGTATAATAAGGAGAAATTAGTTGTTTATGAAGTAACTCTACTATAAGTCTTCTCGTCACACTCGATACGAGCTATATCCAGGTTTTTAGTAACATGAGAAGCTACATATATCTAAGACGTGTAACTTATAAAAAAAAATATTTTCATTAATATAGATATTATCGGAACTCCGTTAAACATCTAGATTGTAACACAACACTAGTTATCATACATATAATATTTAAGTGGAATTCTACCCAAGTTGTTCATGAAGTAATATTACTATAAGTTTGCTCGTCACACTCAATATGAACCGTTTTCAGTTTTATATTCACAAAAATGACAGTAAACAATAAATGTTCATATAAGTAGTGTTGTGCGTGATGTCTAGTCGCGGATCCAGATAATAAGTATACGTAATGGATCCTTGGATGTAAATTATTAACGATATAAAATATAACAAAATGAAACTAGTGAGATCTAAAACTTTTGTGAGTATTCATTCAAATGTTAACATCGATTTAGCACATTCACAGCAATGATAGTGAAACAAAATGGCGTCCCTAGTTTAAAACCGTTGAAATTTATATAATACTTAAAAGAACACTCTTAAAAAAAGGAATTTTAATATAAATTGCATATTAAGGAATCTAAAATAATATCTTTTAAACATTATTGATATATTTATAGTAAAAATTAAAACACATCTTGGAGCAACAAGAAAATCTTATATACATATATCATAATTGATTTTGCTCAACCTAAAAACCACTTGATTGTTTAAGGATTTACCAATACGAATAAAATAAACTTTAATACATATATATAGTATATTATTATATTGTTTTAATAATATAATTAATTTCCCAGTCGTATAATCTTCGCCAACCCGGCCAAGCTGTCGTCTCACATCCGCTACGCGCGCGAGGCGGGCGTCACCACGCTCACTGTTGATTCAGACACGGAGCTGCTCAAGATAAAACAACACATGCCTGACGCTGAGTGAGTAAATCTTATTACAATTATATATATGATACTAGCTTTCCGCCCGCAGCTTCGCCCGCGTGGAGTTCGGTTATATCGCGTTTCCAAGAGAACCTTTCCAAAGTCTGGGATAAAAACTATCCTATGTTCTTTCTGAAGGTCAACTTTAACTCTGTAGCAAATTTCATTAAAATCAGTTCAGTGGATTAGGCGTGAAAGCGTAACAGACACACAGGCAGACAAAGGTACTTTCGCATTTATAATATTAGTATGTATATATGATATAGCTACAAAAACAATATATTCTTCCTGTTATAAGCAGAATTACGTACAGTATCTATTTCGTGTAAGTATTTATATAATTATGAGATTTAAGAATATAATCTCGGCAAAAAAACATATTCTCTCTATTATAAGCTCAATTACGTTACTGTCATACATACAGTATGAAACGCAATACATTCGTTCTATAAATCTATACTAATATTATAAAGCTGAAGAGTTTGTTTGTTTGTTTGAAAGCGCTAATCTCCGAAACTACTGGTTCGAATTGAATAATTCTTTTTGTGTTGGATAGTCCAGTTATCGAGGAAGGCTGTGGGCTATATAACATCACGCTACGACCAATAGGAGCAAAGATATAGTGGTAAATGTGTAAAAAACGGGAGAAATTATTTCATCTTTGAAGCCTGCCGTTGCGTGCGCCGTGAAAACGGTTCAAGATACACAAAAAATATGTATTAAAGAATAATAGCTCTTTTAATGATCTTAAAAACAGTCCGCGACAGTATATGTCTATCTTTTAAGATTAACTCACAAAAACCGTTTTTATGGTACCTAATTTGGTCGAAATAATTTGTTTAAGTTGTCTCAACATAATAATATTAATCTTTATTCAAATAAATAAATAAATATGTTGTTGGTTAAGAGTACTTCATTGTGAATAAAAAAAACATAGGTTTTATCCTGAAAATTCTACGGGAACTCGACCATTCCGAAAACCCCGCAAGAATGGGAACTATGTGGGAAGAACCAAAAATCTGCCGGAAGTGACTATTCCACGCGGACGGAGAAGCGGCAAAAGCTAGTATAATTATATATTGACTTAAAATGATTATACAGCTGCGTGCAAAAGTATTAGGCACCCCTATTGTTAGTCACTATCTCATTATATTGCGGTCAAATGTGTGTTTTATGGTTTAGCTATTGTATTAGCGGCAATTTTTAACCAAATTAAGATAAAAGAAAATATTTATGACATCCAGGTGTGCTCCTAAGCGGTGTTTCTTCGAATTTGCTTTTTTTGCGTTTCGGGTTATAGTGTGTTATCAGTGCTTGCAGTGAACATACACGTCTTCTACGCAACTATTCCTATCACAATTCTAAAGACTAACATTTAACGTGTTAATCATGCCGAAAAAATCCGAACTTAGTGCTGAACAGCGTCTAAGAATTAAGATTTTACATGAACAAGGCATGTCTCAGGTTAAAATAGCCCGAGAAGTGAAGTGCTCGCGATGTGCAGTTCAATATGCTATAAATCGCTTCAAAGAGACTGGCACCCATGAAAATAGACCAAGAACAGGCAGAAGAAAAGTTACTACTGAACGGGAAGATCGATTGTTGATTAGACAGTCTCTACAAAACAGGAAAAAAACTGCTTTACAGCTTGCTGCAGCATTATCTGAGGCAAAAGGCAGCTCAGTGAGTGTTTATACTGTGAGAAGAAGACTTCTTAAAGCTGGATTAAAAGGATGTAAAGCAAGGAAGAAGCCGTGGCTGTCAGAACACAATAAGAAAAATCGGTTGGAGTGGGCACTCAAACATAGAGATTGGTCAGTGGAAGATTGGTCCAACATACTGTGGTCAGACGAATCTAACTTTGAGGTATTGTTATTTATTTTGTGTACAATATTAAAACACATAAATGTTTTTAAAATAACGTACTGCAAGAAAAATAATAACTTTGAAAATAAATGTGTTTTTTTCGTTTGGCATAGGTGTTTGGAACACCCGGTGTGACTTGTGTTAGGCGAAGGGTTGGCGAAGAATACAACCCAGAATGTGTGGTTCCCACTGTTAAGCATGGTGAAGGCTCAATAATGATCTGGGGCTGCATGGCTGCCGACGGAGTGGGCGAAATGGTGTTGTGTGAGGGACGAATGAATAGTGTTAAATACACTTGAAGTTCTGGAAACAGCACTAGCAACGTCGATAACGCAAATTTTCGGTGATACAAACACCGATGGCCTGAAATTTCAGCAAGACAACGCCACTTGCCACAAGTCCGCGCATACCATGAAGTGGTTTGCTGAAAATCATATTGATCTCTTGGACTGGCCACCACAATCACCAGACCTCAACCCGATTGAGCATATTTGGTCCATTTTAAAGAAAAATATCCGCAGGCACTCGATTAGCAATAAACAAGCTCTATTGGCCGCGTTACAGCAGGAATGGAAAAATATATCAAGAGAAGAATGTTTCAGGCTGGTAGAGTCAATGCCAAAAAGAGTGGCTGCGGTTATTAAGTCAAAAGGTGGACCTACAAAATATTAATTATTTTCTTAAAATAAACCATTGTAATCATAAATGCAGTTTTATTTACACTCGCTATGCTAAAACACCCTAAAACTTGTCTTACTGTAGGGTGCTTAATACTTTTGCCCGTGGCTGTAGTATCTTAATAATATAACAATACTATGAGGTCATCTACCTAATGGAATACTCGGCAAATATACAGGGTGACTGGTGAATTACTATCGATATTTGAGGATGTGATATTTGATGATCATATATGACAAAATAAAAATTAATATAACATAAATATTAATAAACTTCTAAGTAAAGTTAACCAAAACTTATGTAATTAATTACGCATCGTGTGAACACCCTACAGATTAGGTATACACACACACACACACACACTCGCGCGCGCGGCGTGGTGTTGTATCAGCACGCCGCCGCACGCGTCCACACTTGGAACGTGTCCACAATTTATTTATTCATACGGAAATTTGGTCAAAAATTAAGTACCTATTTTTTTTACATAATTCGAATGAGAATCATGTACCGAGTATTCTCCTTAAATATTGATAGTAATTCACCAGTCACCCTGTATATCTATCCCTCTCCCTCATACCTTTATATCAATATAATGTCGTAATCAGCTTCTGTCCATAAGAGTAGTACGTGTATATATATCTATCTCCCTCTCTCATCAGACTGGTGGTCCGGATCCGTTGCGACGCGTCATCAGCTCAGTGTCCTCTGGGCATCAAGTTCGGCTGCGACCCGCTGCTGGAGGCGCCGCGACTACTCAAGCTGGCCGCCGTGCTCGGACTTAATGTAATACACACACACACAAACACACACACACACGGACACACATACAGACACGGACACATAGATATTAACTGGATAACTACACAAATATTGCAAACACACACACATACAGGAAACTTTACTTTGAACGATAACAATGATTAGCAACCAGTGGAAATATGCTCTACAACATTACATGCGCACATACAGTGTACTCTACTTGAGGCTAACAGTAACTAACAAATGAGATTTGGTAGAATTGTTTAAAAAGCCATTGACATTATCGAAAATTATTACAAAAAGGAAGATTTCTTTTTGAAACTAACAATAATTAGCAAGTTATGATATTTGGTAGAATTGTTCGAAATGTTCTTGCTAATGATATCTGAAAAGTACTTGGACGGTCAGCGTTTCGTTAGTTTTAGAATAAGAGGAACCAGATGTCAGGAAAATTTTGATTACATTGATTAATATCTATATTTCTTTTTAAATTTTGCAGTGCAAATATATTTATCGTTTTGAAATCTTGAGTTGTTAAAAGCATTGAAGTTTTGATTATCACATACATAGTTAGATACAAGAGAGTTACAAGACACGTAAAGATTTTTTATATTTAAAATGTGACACTTTTATATAAGATGCTTAGATATTTCTATAGATAATTATGTAGTCTATAATTTTTTTTATGTAATTTTATGACAAAGCTTAGGTTTTGACATAAAATCGCGAAAAAAATGTTGACATTTGACTCTGACAAATCATTTGTCCAGGCGTCGAATAGTTGAGGAATTTTTTCCTTAATTTTTTAATTCAGTGTTTTTAACAATATACAATTGTAAACTAGACTAAATGAAACATGAATACAAATATTGAGAGGTTTAGTAAAACCAAAAACGTACTCTAGAATGTGACAAAATTGATATGTGAAAATTAATTTTTAAAAGTACATTCCAATATTATAATCAACATTCATCCAACTCTGTTCACATTTAATACAATAGACACTTAATCAAAACTAATATTCTCGTATTACTACTCCTATTATATTATATTTTAAACAACATACTCCCGACGTTTCGGTTACTTTTCAATAATCATCACGGGTAGACGAGAATATTAGTTTAACTTAAATGACTACTCGCGTCTCTTATTTTATTTTATTTAATAGGAAGCCAACTTGATACACAAAAACTTATAACTAAATTATAACATCATGGAACTTAATTTTACAGTTGCGTATCATCACTTACAGACTAACTGAACATGGATTACATGATATTTAGATCTTACTCCAAAACTTATATCTCATTATAAAGCATACTTTTAAATGATTACTCGCGAGTCTTATATTATAATGCACATTTTACTTCTCCCAGGTGGTAGGTATATCTTTCCACGCGGGTTCGGGCGCGGGCGAGACAGCTGTTTATTCGCGCGGCATCCGGCTAGCTCGCGCCTTGTTCGAGGCGGGCGACGCCGCGGGGCACCGCATGTCTTTACTGGACCTGGGGGGCGGCTTCCCCGGACATCACGGCTCCTCTATACGAGAGGTATATACCTTCAGTAACAACCATAATATTAGTAACCCATTATATAAAAAAAATAGAAAATACTATCCTTTCCATGCCGTGATAACTTTTAATTGTAACAACACTTAGCTAAAAATGTAATTACCTTTATTTTTAAAACCTATAAATGGTGTATGTTTTGTAAGTTGTCCTTATATAAATAAATAAATATAGTTTTCATTGCTACCAGATTCTTCTTTTGTTCTATACTTGAGACTAGCCATAGTGAATGATTGTCAACATTAGTGCTACATTGTTATATACTCTTTTTCTTTATAATTATTAAAAAAATAATTCCATTATATATTTTTCCACTCTTTATATGTTCTATATTAACTTTTTTCTTTTTCTTTACACGAGTCATGTTAGGTTTTATACTCGAGACTCTTCATAGTGAATGATAGTCGTCATTAGTACAACATTGTTTTATAGCTTTTTTCCGAGTCATATATTTCTAAGAGTATTTATACACCACTGACTGACGAAGGAAAACATCGTGATGAAACCTGGACTTATATCAAATTATAAGCTTGAAATCACCAACCCGTGTTGAGCTAGCGTGGTTAATGCTCAAACCTTCTCCATGTGAGAAAAGGCAGCTCAGCAGTGGGCTCTGATAGGCTGATGATTATGATGATGATGTACTAAGTTTCTTTCGCCGGTTCTTCTCAAGTCAGGGTATTTTCTTTTAAGAACCGGTGGTAGTGTCTCAAGTGACCATCAATAAGAAAGTGTAATGCTTCTATATTGAATAAAGTTATTTGAGTTTGAGTAATAAACTGCATAATGTTGTCTGTATCATATATTTGTTCGTCCAGGTATCACAAGTCATTTCCGAGGCCCTCTCCACGTACTTCCCCAGCGGTGGGGTGCGTGTGATAGCGGAGCCCGGTCGCTACTTCGCAGCAGCCGCTTACACTCTGTTCACACTCGTACACGCCAAGAGACAGGTAACAACACAGACATTTATATAATAAAACATATTGTAATAAACAAATAAGTCTTTATTACTTATTTATATGAATGTAAATTGTGTTTTTATATAGGAGTATAAAAATTGTTCTCATAGTTATTAAGAATATACTTAATTGTGCCAAAACCTGATGTGGATATTGTAATAACTCCTTATACAAATTATAAATATAAATTAATAATATTGTTTCTTTAAATATATATTTAATATAACATTTGTATATATGTAATGTTTGTTTCTCAGTTGCCCGCTGAAGGCGAGGCCCCGCCTCACACCATGTACTTCATCAACGACGGTGTGTACGGCTCCTTCAACTGTGTGCTCTACGACCATCAGATAGTGACGCCGGAACTACTACAAGTTAGTCAACACATATATATATGTATACATACATAATTACTAATATTACACTCTAGATGTTCATTAATAAAAGTTCATAATCTTTATAATGAAATAAATTATAATAATAATCATGAAATTGATATTTTTAACACAAATCAAGCGATCTTTGTAAAAACTGTAAAAAAATGTCTATCTTAAAAATGCAATCTTGTAAATTTAAATACTGTAATTATTAACAATTTATATTTCTTTTGTATTTTTTTTGTAACTTCAAACAAAAATTGTTTATTGTATGTATTTTTCTTCATGTAAATTTAATTCGTGTAACTTTATTTTTGTCTTTTTTTTATTATTTTTGTTTAGTACTAATATATAGTTATCTCCTGTAAAATAATAATTGGCAATCCTGTCATGTTGTGCATGCACCCTTTGGGTCATAATCTGTTCGATACTATTAATGTTTAAGAAATATTCTGTATGTGATTGTGACCTGTTGTGTTTGCCTTAATAAATAAAAATAAAAAATAAAATAAATGTCATATTCAATGACATTAATTTCAATTATAATGAAATGTCTGTTAATCTGAAGATGCCCTGGGGCCCCACAGACTTGTTCTCACTGACATTAAATTAAATGAAATTGCAATTTATGATTCATCTGCAGAACTCCCCTTGGCTGACAAACATTTTCTATCTGGGGTCCTTCACATTTTTTTACATAAATAACACATTTTCCTTTCATTAAACTAAATTGCCGTGTATATCTATCTGTAGTACTCTCCTAGGCCCCACAGACTTGATCTATCCTTAATTTTTTTCATATATAATATATTTTAATAATATTTCCAGGAGTCTCCCGAGTCCCCCACTCCATGTTCCATCTGGGGTCCGTCGTGTGACGGTCTCGACTGTGTGATCGGCTCGTGTCAGCTGCCCCCCCTCTCTATCGGCTCGTGGCTCGTGTGGCGCAACATGGGCGCCTACACCATCCCCGTCGCTTCGCCCTTCAACGGCTTCCCAGTGCCCACGGTCAAACCCGTCTTGGACTACCGGCTGTGGTATGACATTCAGATATACTGCATACATTCAGGTATACTGCATACATTCAGAAATACTGCATACATTCAGAAATACTGCATACATTCAGAAATACTGCATACATTCAGGTATACTACATACAATCAGATATACTACATACATTGATTATATACATATATTGACAACTAGCTCTCCGCCCGCGTGAAGTTCGGTTGTATCGCATTTCCAAGAGAACCTTTCAAAAGTCCGGAATAAAAACTCTCCTATGTTCTTTCTCAAGGTCAACTCTATGTCTGTACCAAATTTCATTAAAATCAGTTCAATGGTTTAAGTAGAAAGCGTAACAGACAGACAGACAGATTTACTTTCGCAATTATAATATTAGTAGGATAAGGGCTACTGGCATAATGACTATTGTTCAGTAGAGGCGTTTTAAGTTTGTTTTCAATTTATCTTGTGCATGCGACAACTGATGCTTTGGAAACTTTGCATAGCAACTATGACATACATGTACGTCATTTAAGATTGATAAACTTCTTTGTAAACCTACTAGTATTTTTAATAATGTATATAAGACCTTATACATTAAGAATTGTGTTACATGCCTTTTAACTGCAATAAAAACTAAGATTTCCACCAACATACGCATTTTTTTAAATGGATGTTGTAGAATACAGTATTATGAAGTGTTCAGGGCATAAATGACAATATCTAAATTGCTACATTGGCTCTTATACATAGGACCCATCGATGTATTACATACATTAACATTGATATAGTTATGTATGAAGCCTCAAGCGAGATGAGTGATGTATGTTCATGTTATACAGGGTGATGTATGTTCATGTTATACAGGGTGCTCCTCCGCGACGTGTGGTCGTCCACGGGCGCGGTGTTCAGTCACTCGTCCCCGCCGCCGTCTTCACCCGCGGACTGCAGCCCCTCATCCTCACTGTCACCCTCCCCCTCCCCCGAGGGGTGGGCGCGGGGCAACGACCTCTGCGAGCTGCCCAACTGTTAATAACAAACAGATGGAAATTCCACCGCAGATTACTAATAAGTAATAATATCCACAGATGTGAAATTTACAACTTAATGAAGGAATGGGTAATCATACCCTGTTACTGTTGTGTTGCAGTGATGAAAACGATTTTCTAACTTTAGTATTCTGCGGTTGAAACTCAATAGATACGGTGTCGAGGTGCTTTCTTGTATTTGGGTTACATTTAATTGATGTCTTGTGTATTGGATTCTATTAAAATGTATGTTTCGATACTAATCATGTGTTGGTTTTATGTGATTTCTTTTATATAATTTTGAACCGCGTCTGAACATTCCATCTTTTATGAGACGCGACACCGAATTATCATTTATTTTTTCGCTTACTAACATTTTTTTTATATTTCTTCTGTAGTTTGACCTTTGCACAATGTTTAATGTCATTTTTAATATATTTCACGACTCACGATGTTTGTATTTCGTTTAACCCTGTTTGATTAAAGTTTAGCTGTCTTCATATTTAGTTTTAACTAAAATAAATGAATTTAATATTTTTTATTTCTCAAATGTATACTGTAGTTTGAAATCTTGTAACTTTTAAACGCATATGTAATCGTTAGATCATTTCAGAATTGTAGAATGCTTATGAAATATATTATTGGTGAACTATATTCATATTTGTTTGATTTCCACGAATATCCGTCTGACCATGGACGAATGCACGTGATCATGTGGCAATATTATAAAGTTGATAAAAAAAGTTTTAAAAGTTAAATACAAAACAAAGGATGTAATTGGTCTAGTTTGTGGCGGAAAGAAATATTCTAGTGATATTTGTTTAGATCCATTATTATGCTCTTATTATAAACATCACTCTGACTCCATTGAGATTTTGTACTCAATTACACTTACATAATTCAGTAGAAACTCGATTAAGCGAACTAATCGTTGTCGATAGGCAATCGGATAATCGAATGTATGAGGAAATGCGGGTTTTTATATACAACGTGTAACATAATTAACGCACACCCTGAAAGTAGTTTGTTCAGAATCGGAATCTGGATCGATTTTTATGGTTTTTTATGTAGGTAATTCTTTTTCTTAAATTTAGATAGAACTAAGTAAATTACAGTCATCCTACACACAGTTATCTAAACACTTCATTCAAACGAAAATGGATCGTAAGTCTGAATATTAAGATTTTTAAAATGAAATATTAAATTAGTAATCATCATTCAATTAAAGAAAACTGATACTTGTTTCAAGGCTAAAATAGTATTTTACAAATATCTACGCACGCACAGCGACAGCCGGCACACATCAAATACCTACGCACGTGTCCATTGACCTCCTAGATCAGCTGATTTGACGCCACTCGACTTATTTTTGTGGGGGCGAATTAAATTGCTAGTTTATAACACAGAGATAACAAGTGCCGAGGAACTAAAAAATAATATAATAACCGCCTTTGTAAAAGTGAAAAGTGACACTGCAGTATTATCTATAGTAATATTATAAAGCTGAAGAGTTTGTTTGTTTGTTTGAAAGCGCTAATCTCCGAAACTACTGGTTCGAATTGAATAATTCTTTTTGTGTTGGATAGTCCAGTTATCGAGGAAGGCTGTGGGCTATATAACATCACGCTACAACCAATAGGAGCAAAGATATAGTGGTAAATTTGAAGCCTTCCGTTGCGTCCGCCGTGAAAACGGTTCAAGATACACAAAAAATATGTATTAAAGAATAATAGCTCTTTTAATGATCTAAAAAACAGTCCGCGACAGTATATGTCTATCTTTTAAGATTAACTCACAAAAACCGTTTTAATGGTACCTAATTTGGTCGAAATAATTCGTTTAAGTTGTATCAACATAATAATATTAATCTTTATTCAAATAAAGAAATAAATATATTGTTGGTTAAGAGTACTTCATTGTGAATAAAAAAAACAGGTTTTATCCTGAAAATTCTACGGGAACTCGAACACTCCGAAAACCCTGCAAAAACGGGAACTATGTGGGAAGAACCAAAAATCTGCCGGAAGTCACTATTCCACGCGGACGCAGTCGCGGCAAAAGCTAGTCTAAAATAAAACCACAATTGCGAAAACGGTCATTAAAGTGCATTGAACAAGGCGGTGGACATTACGAAATGTTTTAAAACGAAAACGCCGTTCGAATGCAAATTAAACTGTAAGTTTGTTTATGATCTTTAAATTATTGTTAATATTTTGATTCACACCATTTAAACACGCCAACTTTGTCGTAGGTATTGTGGTGTCTAATCAAGTCACGGGGTATCAGCTGTTTAATAATTCTTATTTACAAATTTAATTTAACAAATCAGTAATTATAAAATATTGGCTTCACATTAAAAAAAATTCAATGTCGACAATCTAAAGCCTGAAAAGTGTGATGGAAAGAAGAATCATAAATCATAATGTATTTATTTCGTGTTATTATTATCGGACGGCACTCGGAGAGAGGGGCGCGGGCGCGGCGAGTACATTGTGTGTCTGTGTGTGTGTGCAGCGTAGTGTTTGGTGATTAGCTGACCATATTATTTGCACGAAATTGGGATAACTAATTTCACAAATAATGCTAACGCACATATAAATAATGTTTGATGTATGCATTGCGTTTATATTATTATATTCTAATTGGCGTGTTTGACGGTGTGCGTTAATTATGTTACACGTTGTATATGTAGTACATAATATTATATGTTTATTTAAAGAAAAGTAACAAATGCATAACAACGATAATTAATAAATGTTTATTAATAAATAATTTAAGGATAGGATTCTTAGATTACATATACATACTAATACTTACTTGTATGTACTAAAACCTGCAGATTTAATCATGAAATAAATAACAATACATGAATTTATCAGTTATTTAGTTAATTTGCAATTGGTAACCATGAATTAAAGTAGTAAGTTCAATTTGCTTTAAATATTTGGTAATTGTCATTTGACGTACGCCACTCTCAACAACACCACTCTCTTACGTTTTGACATTCTTTCTTGTCCGGACTCGTCCGTAGTCCGGATAATCACGAATCCGTATAACTGAGGGCCGGATAATCGAGTTTCTACTGTAGTGCTGAATTTAAACCTGTTTCCCAACTAGAAGCGAACATTTAACAGTAATACACACATTGACATCACTATTAGATCCTACTTCTCAACTAGTTACCAATAAATAAATCAGAGTATACATAAAGGGAGTACTGAAATTAAATCAAATAATGCATAAAAATTACATTTATTGCAAAAGGTACAGCTGATTCTCTTCACAGAGGACAAAAAAAAATTTTAACGACATTGAATTAATACAAAAACCTTAAAAACAATTTCGATTAACACAATTAACTAATTTTTTTATTATTTTCAAATTAAATCCATCATAGTATAATGTTAATAGTTATTTATAAACTAACAATACACAGTAACGCTCGGCGTCCATACAAAAGCTTATCAATGTACATTACACTTAACAATACGTTCAGTCTCGTGCAATTATTCACACACAAATTAATTTGGTCACAGAAACGCACTTTTGAATATCATTGAGTTAAATATACAAAAATATTGAGACGAGTACATTTAATTTAAATACTATTTGTTACAACACTGTTTCTGTCTTATTCACTGTATGAAAGTTCCAATAGAAATGAAATCTGTATAGATTTCACATGGTAATGGTGAGATCTCAACAGATCGCGACTCCGTAGCCTTGAAGGTAGTTCTGTAACACGCTGCGGTGAGGTTCGTCCAGGGAACTGACGCGAGGGGGCAGAACGCCGGGGAAGTCCCGGGACATGGCCGCTAGACTCTCCGCCAGGTAGCGCTTCGGATCTTCTATGGCTGGAAAGTAATTATCATACTAATACGCTGATAAATTCCTGCGAAGTACAATAAAAAATAAAAGATCTTCAAGTTGTCCAAAATGTAGTAAATTCTTTCTTTCGCTATTTGTAATATCGCTAAAAATTGTGCTCGCTTCATTTAATTTTATATAGGTAAAGAAAATTTAGATTATAACATATGTTATATGGAATTGCCTCAGCCAAAGATAATACCGGATCAGAAAATTGGTTAAAGGATGGAATTATATATTGGTGATGATCATTGATTTCTATAATAAATTCTATAGTTATAATTTAACCATCTGAATAGAGTTGTCAGGAAAAATCTTAATCTAACTAATCTGGCAGCACTGAATCTTTGTGAATGATACTGGCTATCTACTATCTTCCTTTATAGTAATAAAACAATTGATTTTCATTTTAACCTGTTTCCAAAAACAATATATAGAGCTATGTAAACGTTAGAAATGTTAATTATAAAAGCAGTTTATGAATTTTCATCAGAATCTTCATCATAATATATCCATAGATAAGTATCCATGGTCTAAGTCATAGCATGAATAGTTGTGTGTGTGTCCGTGTGTGTGTGTGTCCGTGTGTGTGTGTGTGTGTGTCAGTATCCACTCACCAGCCAGCGGGTCGTCGCTGCCCGTCTTGGCGCAGGCCAGCTGAGCGTACACGGGCTGGTAGCCGGGCGTGTCGTCCACCTCTATGAAGTGGTCGTCCGGCAGCTGGCTCTCGTCGGGCGGCAGCTCGAACAACGCTATCAGAGCCTGGAATATTAAATACATATTTATAACAGACGAAACTTCTCATCATTCAATGTATTCACGGTGCGTGTGTCGGGTCCATCGTTGTAGTGAGAGGAGCTTCAACAGTGACTGGGACTTGTGACCCAGGTGTAGGTTTAAGGGGCTGCTATCTAACGCGTTATACGCTCACCTCCACTGTACAAGCTCCTCTCGCTATACAGGGTGACTGGTGAATTACTATCAATACTTGAGGACGTGATATTTGACGATCATATATGACAAAATAAAAATTAATCTTCTATATATATAAAAATGGATTGCTGTTCCTTAGTCTCGCTAAAACTTGAGAACGGCTGAACGGATTTATTTTATCTTAGTCTTGAAATGTTCGTGGAGGTTCAGGGAAGGTATAAAAGGTGAGAAAAATTGATTCATTTTCGGGAAAACCCTAAAAACAGCCCTTTTCTATTTCCCATACAAATGTTTTCTTTGACATTAGATTTGACAACTAACTAATATGTCAATCATTTTGTTCGATTGAAACAGGAAAAAACGGATTATTTATGGCTTCTAGGACGGAATAGAGTTCGCCCGGTCAGCTATACACATATTACTAACTAGAAGACCTGGCGAACTTCCTATCGCCCTATAATCAAGAAATATCTATTACGTTTTTTTATTTATATTTTTGGAGTTTACGTGTAAGCCATAAATCTGCGTGTTTTGAAGTGCGACAGAATGATTGACATATTAGTTGTCAAATCTAATGTCAAAAAAAAACATTTGTATGGGAAATAGAAAAGGTCTGTTTTTATGGTTTTCCCAGTAGTGAATCAATTTTTTTCAGCTTTTATACCTTCCCTGAACCTCCACGAACATTTCAAAACTAAGATAAGATAAATCCGTTCACCTGTTCTCGAGTTTTAGCGAGACTAAGGAACAGCAATCCATTTTTATATATAAAGAAGATACATAGAAGATGATGAAATTAACGCGGACGAAGTCGCGGGCAAAAACTAGTATAACATAAATATTAATAAACTTCTAAGTAAAGTTAACCAAAAGTTACGTAATTAATTACGCATCGTATGAACACCCTACAGATTAGGTATACACTCACACATACGCGAGCGGGGCGTGGTGTTGTATCAGCACGCCGCCGCACGCGTCCACACTTGGAACACTTGGAACGTGTCAACACTTTATTTATTTATACGGAAATTTTGTCAAAAATTAAGTGCCTATTTTTTTTACATAATTCGAATGAGAATCATGTACCGAGTATGCTCCTTAAATATTGATAGTAATTCACCAGTCACCCTGTATATTAAAAATATCTGAATTGGAAAATATATGTGTAAATTATGTACCTAATGTGAAACTAAATGGCGCTATTTCACGACACTATTTCAAATGAAGATATCTTGAAATTTATATGTACGAGTATGTATCTATGAGTTTCCGCATTTAGAACTACAAGTGTTATATCAAATGAAAGAAAATTATGAGAATTACTTTATTAGATACTAAAAAATACATTTTATTATATTTCATTTTACTAAATTACTCTAATCTGGGAGAATCAATTTGAACGCTTAAAATTCTGAATTACGGTGAGCAATTTTAGTGCTAATGGGATGCAAAAATCTCTTATGACGAAACAATTGTTCTGCATCTCTAAAATGATTGCATGTATCTTATATCTGAATTTAATATTTATTTTATACTTCTTAGTCATTTTAGTTATATAGAAAAGAAGATAAATCTTACAACCAGTTTAATTGGCAATAGTAGGATGAAAATATCAATTATTAATATTTTATTTTTATGATAACGCAGTCTACTTTTAGTTAATTATATATTTATCAATACCTCTTTTACATCGTCACACTACATACAAAGCTTTTCATATGTACTCTCCTAAATGTACATTCATATCAAGTGTGATCTATAAATGGAAAACGTCAAACGTACTGTATTTAGTTGGCGAACTCGTATTAAGGAGACTGTGTTAAATACGCGCAATATATTAAAGAAAAAATGAACATATAATGATACCACATTAGCTATGGAATGGTATTGCTATCGTAACATGGGGGCTCATGTAGTCTTAGGTGTAGGTTATAAGTTTTTAACATGTAGTTTTCATTCATCTTCTTCTACCTGGCAATTTCCTAGCTATAGCCAGGGTCTGCCTTACTTGTTGTGAATAGGTTTTGGCTAATTGTTTTTACGACCGGCCGCCTGCCTGACATCAACCCTCTTTTGGGAAAGCATTAATCAGTGATGTCTAAATACTATTAGAAAGTACATATGACTCGGAAAAATCACATTGGTACTTGCCCGGGCCAGGATCGAACCCGCGGGGTCGTGCATGAGAGGCGGGCCTTTTAACCTCGAGGCCACCACTGACTATGTAGTTCTTATTATAATATACATATAAGTTTCGTAGTTTTCCTTGAACCTCCATATACCTATAATTATTTAGTTTCAAACCTGTAACAGATTCGTCCACAGTCCCGCCAATCTTCCTTCTCTAAAGTGCACACTATAACACAGTAGCTTCACACATCCCACAGCGGCCGCCTTCCGCTCCAGAGCTCCGCTAACTTTCTGTACATCCGGCACCAAAACCCTCTCTACGTACATGGCGAACATACTGAAAATAATATAATATATATGTTAATATTTTAAGATAATTTATACATATTTGTAGCAGCACTACATATAATAATAATAATAGTTTATTTATAACTTCGTCACACCGTCGACGCACGTAGTATGCAATGAGCAAAGATGCCTATTTTAATCACGCGCCTTAAAACCGAAAGACGAAACATTATCTTATATGCGGCGACCAATCAAAACGCCTGTTTTAATGTAGACATTCCTATTGGATATTTAATGATATATTTAATCAATTTTTGTCAATCAAAGAAATCTGGATCTAATAAAGAAATTATTGTTTGTGGAGATTTTAATATAAATTTATTGCTTAATTTAACCACAAGTATTAGATTCAGATCTTTGTTAAGTTCATATAATCTGGTAAATCTGTTCTTAGAACCTAGAACTAGAATAACAGATTCCACAGCAACTTGCATTGATAACATATTTGCTTCCTGTATTCCACAAAACAAAATTATTATTAATAACCTAAGTTCGGATCATTGTGGACAACAAGCCTTATTTAATTTTCATGTTAAAAAAAATAAGTACTTCTGAAAAGATAATGTTTGTTCCTTTGACCGCAAGTCGTATTGAAAAGTTTAGAAGTAATATTATGGCTAATCTCCCTCACATATATTTTAGTGATAATCCCAATGTATTATTTAACAATCTATTTAATTTAATTAGAAACAGTTTTAAATCTATATTCACTTCTAAAACGGTCAATAAAATAACTTTTTAAAATTTAGTGATTGGGCGACTATTGGAATTCATAAAAGTAGGCAACGAATGTATGAGCTTCACAATGAAAGAAAGTACAATCATAGTGCCACTTTTGCCAATTATGTAAGTTACTATTCTAAATTATTTAAAAAAGTGTGCTTTTTGGCAAAATCTTTATCAACGGATTACGAATATTATTCTCTCCATGCAACTCAACTCTTAAATATTCTGGCAGAATAACGTCATATATTGATTTATATTACAAGATTTTATTGAGTTGAAAGGGTTTTTGGAAATGTTAATTTGGAGATACAGTTCCATCTCTTAAAATGTTTTGATAACTTATGCATTATATACCTACAATCACGCACACAGACATACGTAATATGTGTGTATTTGTGTGCGACAGTGAGCTAGTTAGTTCGATATATTTTTTACTAACAAATCTTCATTTCCTTACAAAAATAATTATAAACCATTGATTCCGACACAACACGACAATTGATTTAATGATACATGCTATAAAATAATTTTATTTTGATTTGGACATGATAGAAAACTTTTCATCAACTTGAATATCTAATATTAATGATGATAAAGGTAAAAAAACGCTAGTAATTCATTTAAATAAACAATACAGTTTAAAACGACTTATTCTAGAAATCTTTATAATTAGACTTGCTTTTCGCCCGCAGCTTCACCCGCGTAGAGTTCGGTTATATCACGTTTCCAAGAGAACCTTTCAAAAGTCTAGGATAAAAACTATCCTATGTTCTTTCTCAAGGTCGACTCTATCTCTGTACCAAACTTCTTTAAAATCAGTTCAGTGGTTTAGGCGTGACAGACAGAGTTACTTTCGCATTTATAATATTAGTAGGGATAAGTTATTTTACATCATACAGCCGCTTTTGTTACATGTAAAACACAGAACCTCTTTTGTTTCATACAGTCAAAATATACTTACTTAGCCTGTACTGAATCCACGAGGTCTATAAGAGGATCAGCTCCGAAATGTGCTGAATAGAAGCCGAGGAAGGCTATCAGACCTCGGACATACTTTGTTGTCTTTGATGAAGATAGACGTTGGAACAGGAGAGTTATTATCTGCTTCGTGTACTGCTGCATTACTGACCTGGAAATTGAACCACATGATTGAGTAATACTGGAAATTATTTAGTGTTTATTTAATTACTAATAGTGAAAAAATTACTTTATTTATTTATTTATTTGAGGATCCCCAAAAAAAGGTACACAGTATACAATTTTAGACTAATCAATACTAAATATTACAGAAATATGTACTCTTTCAATTACAGGAGACCACAGCTTGCTAATTAAATATGACTAAGCAAAACAATATGAAATTATAGTTAAAAATATTTAAAAAAAACAAAAATATTAAAAACAATTATATATCCTGAATTTGTTTAAAAATAAGAATACAGTAAGTAAGAACAGTAAGTTTTAAAAAAAAGTAAAAGTCGTTATTATAGAAAATTTATCAAATCAAACATTCTTCTGATAATCTGCTTCCAATGTAGATACGTGGATTTATCCAATGCTAGTTACGCGGACAAGCACTATCCCAAAAGATATTTAAATATAAATACATTGAGGGAGCAGACATTTAATTGTTCCTTTTAAGCGGGAAAATATTTTGTCACCACAACTTGTTTCTTTTTACATTGAATTTAACCTATTTAAGGTGTTTTGGTTTAAGATAATAATAAGTTTGTTCTAGTTAAGGTTTTATTTGTTATTTAAAAGTACTGACTTTTTAGAATCCTATATATATAGCATACATCTTAATAGTTACATATTAATATTATACATTTTTAGTATGTTATATTAAATTCGTTTATAATATATACATATTAATAACTCACTCGCCAAACTTGAAGAGCATCGTCTGTATGAGGTAGAAACCTTCGTGATCGTTGGTCTTGGAGGCTATTAACTTTTGGAATACACCCAACATGGCATTCTGAAACACAACAATAAGAATAATGAATTAATTATTTAAGAATATTGTCTTTAAAGCAAGCAAATATACAAAAAAAAGTTTATAGATAAAAAACGTAATATAAGTGTATTAGTTAAGCAAATGTTATGTAATTTAGGCTTAACGATTTAGCAAGTTTACAATATACGCTAAATAAATGTTTAATATAGGTCTCTAACTAAATAAATACGTAATATAGGACCATCGATTAAACAAACATGTAATACACTCCTATTGGTTCACTAAATATATCTCCATCTCTCTCTAATCATATACATCCATCTCTCTCACTCACCAGCTTCCCCGAGCTGAGCACGAGGTCTGCTAATATATAAGAACTATAGGCTAAAGAAACACGTAATATAGGACCATCGCTCAAACAAACATGTAGTACACCCCTATAAGCTCAATAAATATATCTCCATCTCTCTCTATACATATACATCCATCTCGCTCACTCACCAGCTTCCCCGAAGTGAGCACGAGGTCTATTAATACATAAGAACTATGGGCTAAAGAAACTTAATATATAAGAACAATAGGCTAAAGAAACACGTAATACAGGACCATCGCTCAAACAAACATATAATACACTCCTATTGGCTTAATATATCTCCATCTCTCTCTAGTCATATACATCCATCTCGCTCACTCACCAGCTTCCCCGAGCTGAGCACGAGGTCCGATCGTACGGCCACGAAGGCGCACAGCAACCTCACTAAGGGACGAACATTCGCCGGTCGTTCCCACAGAGGGGGCGCCACCAGGCAAGGCAGGAGGGCGGCGTATGTCTCACCTCCCCCGCCAGAACACGCTCCACGCAATTCCAATAGCAGGGATAGCATTTGAAATACGTACGGCATGAACTCTGCCAATAATATATATAGATTTAATTATGAGATCGAAGAGTTATATTCATTTAAATGGAAGTATTATTTTTCGGTCTTTATTGTTGTCAAAAACTACACCCTCCCGACGTTTCGGCTACTTTACAGCAACCGTGATCACGGACAGACGAGATGTTAGTTTCATTTATATATCTACATTTAATTATGAGATCTAAGATTTTCGCGAGTTCCATTTAAATGAGTTTGAAACTTGAAAACTTGAACATTTTCGCTAGTTCGTAAAATAATCTAATATAAACGGAATTAGCCATGTTACTCGCTATTTATTTATATAAATGAAATATCAAGGTTACAGAGTTAAGAAATCTTAAAAATTCAATTGAAACTAATCTTTCTCGGATTATACTACGCGACTTTATTGTTGTCAAAAACTACATACTCCCGAAGTTTCGGTTACTTTATAGCAACCGTGATCACGGACAGACGAGATGTAAGTTTCATTTAAATATCTACATTTAGATATAAACCAAATATCGTCGGGGATAGTGCAAAATCCGAGTAACTAGCATTGGATAATTCTGCGTATCTACATTGGAAGCAGATTATCAGACAGAAGTTTCGGCTGAAATATTTCCTATATTAACGACTTTAAAGATAATTTTTTCACAATTAGTAATTATTTAGTGTTTAATTTATTACAGAATTATCCAACGGTATGGGTTAAGAGATAGTGATAAAATATAAATTAAAATCTCGTTTTTGTGATCACGGTTGCTGTAAAGTAACCCAAACGGCGGGAGTATGTAGTTATAAATAAAAAAATACTCGTAGCAATATTAGTTTGATTTAAATTAACACGCGAAAGTCCTAGAACTCATTATAAATTCATTTGTGATCAATATTTAATTTACAATATTTTATATACATACATACTATTGTTTTACTTAAAGATTCAAAGGATAAAATTTTATATATATGTATGAAAATATATTAATAATACCTAATACATCGTTTTGTAAAATATCCTGGAATATCGGGAAAAGTGCGTCTTCGAAAGCAGTGATGGCGCTCGGATTTGCTTTGACTACTAAACTGAAAAATAAATACAATTCTCATATAATAAATTCCTATTAAATATTTTAAAACGTATACGGACAAATATATTGTGGCAAAAATATGATTAAAAGCCTTTTGTTTGTTTGAGTTATTAAGTATTGATAGTGTTCAAGAAAATTTTTATCAATACAAAAATTAAATTCAAACAACATTTTGTTATTGTTACACTTGACAAATAATTTATAAAATTAGTTGATGCTGGACATTAAGTTTACTTATGATCAAAATTTATATATTAACAGACTATTTAATGATAAATCTTCATTTTAAACACTTGACATGCAAAATTTGTTACACACGCATCAGTAATTAATTTTTTCACAGCTTTCTTTATGAATTCAAATATACCGGGTGACTGGTGGATTACTATCAATATTTAAGGAGAATACTCGGTACATGATTCTCATTCGAATTATGTAAAAAAAATAGGTACTTAATTTTTGACCAAATTTCCGTATAAATAAATAAAGTGTTGACACGTTCCAAGTGTTCCAAGTGTGAACGCGTGCGGCGGCGTGCTGATACAACAAGACGCCGCCGCGCGCGAGTGTGTGTGTGTGTGTATACCTAATCTGTAGGGTGTTCATACGATGCGTAATTAATTACATAACTTTTGGTTAACTTTACTTAGAAGTTTATTAATATTTATGTTATATTAATTTTTATTTTGTCATATATGATCTATTTATTTATTTATTTATTTATATACACTTTATTGTACACCAATATATAATAGGAGTAATAGGAATAACATAAAGAAAAGAAAATGTACAACAGGCGGCCTTATCGCTAAAACAGCGATCTCTTCCAGGCAACCTTTGGTAGAGGAGAGAGATAGGATGGTAGGGGTGTACAAATTATAAATATAGATACAATATATATATATATATACATCCATATATATGTATATATACGATACATAAATAAATATACCATAAATATATACTTATATAATAATATAATATACATACACATTATAAATATATACATTTACATACTATAGATAGTTACATAATATGTAAATAAAATATTTAATTGCAGTACATATTTCTACACGAAGCAAGATAGTGCTCTTTTATCATTTTTTTAAAAGAAGTCAAGGTTGGTGCACGTCTTGCTTCGAGTGGAAGAGAGTTCCAAAGACGAATAGAATGGACAGTAAAAGAGTGAGTGTAAAAAGAAGTTGTATGAGGTGGTATTTTTAAGATCAAATTCTCTTCAGAACGAAGATTATGACTATGTGAAGAACTAAGAAATTGAAAACGTTTTTTTAGATATGAAGGAGAAGACGGATTGAACAGAATACAGTACAGAAGCTGAAGGATGTGAGTATTCCTGCGAAGCCGGATTGGGAGCCACTTGAGCTTTTTACGAAACTCAGAAACGTGATCATATTTACGAAGACCAAATATGAATCGGATGCAAAGATTTTGGAGACGCTCAAGTTTATTAAGTTGCTCCTCTCTTAAATCAAGATAACATGCGTCAGCATAATCGAGAATTGGTAGTAGGAGTGACTGTGCTAACATAACTTTGGTAGGGATGGGTAGAAAGTTGCGTAATCTTCGGAGGGAGCCAAAGGCTGCAAAAATTTTTTTACTTACCTCACTTACCTGTGGTTCCCAAGACAGGTGCTGGTCAAAGGTAATTCCCAAATTCCTAGCTGTGACACTGAACGGTATGTTAACACCGTTAAAGTGTACAACCGGGAGATCCGAAAAAGATATGCGAGAAATTAATTTTGAACTACCAATAATCAGCACCCGTGTTTTATTTGGGTTTACTCGTATTCCAAATGCAGTGGACCACTTAGAAATATTTAATAAATTATTATTAACAAAGTGTATAGTTGCAGGAAGGTTCGCAATTTTACATTGTGAATAGATCTGGAGATCATCTGCATACAGGTGATAGAGAGAAGATATATGAGAAGTGATGGTACTTATAAAGACCGAAAACAAGAGAGGAGACAACACGCCACCTTGTGGCACGCCAGCAGTTATAGGAGCCCATTCTGAGAAAGAATCTTGAACTCTTATCCGTTGCCGGCGCCCATACAAGTAAGAATGAAACCAGTCAATTACTTTAGGAGATATGTTAAGAGAACACAAAATAGCAAGAAGAATATCAAAGTCTACAGCGTTGAAAGCATTACTAAAATCTAATAATGTCAACACAGTAACCTGTTGATTATCCATTCCTAATCTAATGTCATCAGTTATTTTGATCAGAGCCGTAGTCGTACTATGACCAGGACGGAAGCCAGATTGTAAAGGATTCAATAGGACATTTTTTGAAAGGTATTGGTTTAATTGATTGTGAATAAGGCGCTCAAGTACTTTAGACAGGAAAGGAAGAATGGATATAGGACGATAATCAGTGTAAGATGAAGGATTTGTTTTTTTGGGGAGGGGGATGACTTGTGCGTCTTTCCAGGATTCAGGGAATTCACAAAGGATAATGGATTGGTTTAAAATATGTGTGACTACAGGAATTATAATATCTAAGATTGGGAGGATCATCTTACGACTAATGCAATCCGAACCAATAGCATCAGAATTTATTGCTAAAATGTTCTTCTTAACATCACTATGAGTAAATTGACTAAAGAAAAAAGGAGAATTTTCAGGAGTTGATTTAGCAGAAATTTCTTTTAAAGTATTAGACTTCACAGAAGTGTCGAAAGTTTGAGAGGTCGAAAAATGATTATTTAATTCATTTAAATTAATATTGTGAGTATTTATGTTACTAGAAGATTTTCCAACTCCTAAGGACTTGAGAAATTTCCAGACTCTAGCCGACTCCTCTTCCTCAGCTATAGATTTATGGATATGGCGTCGTTGACTATCTCTACATAGCCTGTTGCAACGATTGCGAACCTTCAGATACTTGTCGCGATTTGCGTCAGTTGGATTACACCTATACTTAGCCTTGGCAACATTCTTTCTTACTTGGAGCTTCTTTATTTCTGGGGTGAGCCAAGGTGCAGGAAGGTGTTTTAGCCGGACAGGACGAATTGGTGCATGTAAATCATACAGTTGAGTTAATAGGGAATTAAAAACTGTAACTTGCTCATTAACTGTATCAACATTTAAAATAACACTCCAATCAATGTTGGCAGCATCCTCCCGCAGACTATTCAAATCCATTCCACCAAAATTACGCTGCAGAAGAATTCTCGATTTTGCTTTGGGTGGTTTGATTTTATAGGAGAGATAAAGAAGATCATGATATGAAAAAGCAAGGGCGGAAATGATCGTCAAATATCACGTCCTCAAATATCGATAGTAATTCACCAGTCACCCTGTTTAATATCAGACAATTAAATTATTCTCATCTTTTCATATTATAAAGTTAAAGTTAATACTTACGACACAGCCAGAGAGAGGCTCTCGAATAAGTAGTGATTGAAGTGTGGCTTCGAAGGATTCTTGGCAACCAAAGCAAGTATAGAAGCAAGTTTTGGCAACGCTTCACCAAGATAGGGCAGCGCAGCTTCGCGAAGAATTGCCAGGGTACGAAGTAATGCTGAAATAATAATAATAATATATATAACAAACATTGTTATTAATCAATAACTTGTGTTGTTTAATTTGCATTGAAATAAGTGTTACAAGTTGCGCCGTCTGTGACATACTAATTATAATATATAATAATCCTTACAATTATTCTTATGAGTGATTATAATTAGTTATATTACTGAACCGTTTTAATTGTATTATGGCAATAATTAAGTATCAACTTGTATTTGAAAACTATAAATACTGGCTTCAGCCATTTTGTAGAGTATAGCTGGAACAATAAAAATCAAGACTGAAACTTTACCTCAAACATTACTTATGATATATTTTACAGGAAATTTTATATGAAACAATAAAATAAATTATATAATGAAAAATATGAGGACAATAAAGGTAATTTAATGTTGATATAACAAAAAATATACAATTGAATATAAATAATATGTCATGAGTAATGTTCGAGATACAGTTTCAGTGTTTATTTTTAATGAGAGATTTTATTTCTTTTATAGAGAGAGAGAGAAGATTTTAACCATCAACCTCATCTTATACTATCCCGGTTGCTTAGTCAAATGCCATCAATGCCATGAAATGCCAACCTTTCATAACGTATTCGTTGTGAGCGGTGGGTCCTCCGTCTATGGCGGTCAGTAGGGCTCCCATGAGGTTACCGGCGTAGGGCTCCAGCTGTGTCTTGGTGGCTAGGCCTCCCGCTAGCAGCTTCTCTACCGCACACGACGCGTACGTACATACTACCCCACCACCACGAATATGTTGGATCTGGAAAACAAAGATATATGAATAACTAGCTGCGCCCCTCGGTGTCACCCGCGGATTTCCGGGATGTAAAGTAGCCTTTGTGTTATTCCTGGACGTCAGCTTCCTGTATACAAAATTTTATCAAAATCGGTTCAACCGTTTGAGCGTGAAGAAGTAACAAACATACACACACACTCACAAACTTTCGCAATTATAATATTAGTAGGATTACTTTAGGTTATATAAGGTTTAAATAACGTTAAAACATTTAATAGCTAAGTTTTAGCTAATGAAGTGCTGAAGTTAGCGACGGCCGGAGGAAAACATATGATAAACTAACTTAATCGTGTTCACACGATATAAATATCCCAAGATGGATCTGACAATACTATTAAAAAATATAAAGCTACTGCATATATACACAAAAAAACCCTAGAATTGTTATCCGAGAATTTATATGTTCAAAAATGTCTCATTCGTTTATTCTATCGCCCTATCTGATCAATGGAAGTGACTACTACACCAATGCACCAATTAAAGCTATTAAACAATACATATCTTTAAGAAACACCAAAAAATAATGATCATATGAATATTTCATAAATATTTTTATCATATATCCCATAGTAATTTCCCAAAGAGGGTTGATGTCAGGCAGGCGGCCGGTCGTAAAACAGTAAGCCAAAATTATTCACAACATGTAAGGCAGACCCTGGCTATAGCTGGGAAATTGCCAGGTAGAAGAAGATATCCCATAGTTATGTAAAATCTACTCACCAGTAATGGTAGAGCTGTCACGATCAAGTCTTTAGGTAGTAGTGACCTGAATGTTATGATGTATTTGATGGCGTCCGCTTTAAGTACTGGCAGCTCATTCACTGTTGGACATTATATACTATATGTTTGGTTTAATAAGTATAATGAAATATCAGATTATTGGTATATGCTCGGGAATAGTGCAAATCAGCAAATTAAATACTAAATTATTACTTATTGTCAAAAAATTATCTTAAAAGTCAGTAATATGGAAAATATTTCAACTTAAACTTTCTTCTGATCTACTTCCAATGTAGATACGCGGAATTATACAATGCTAGTTACGAGGATTTGAACTATTCCCGACGATATATTAATTTAACTTGTTCTTTTTTTTGATAATTTATATACAAAACATTTATATTGTATCAAGGTATATAAATTTATACTATCAAAGCATCTTAATAAATGTAACAATGTGATTTTGATATAAGTTACTAATACCATTTCTTCATTATTTTATACCAACACATAATTTAATAACAAAATTTCCTATATGTAAAGCTATGTTTACACATGAGAAATTTCAAAATATTCCAATCTCTAACCATCGGGTCGCTGAAGTTCTGGCAATACATGTGTAGCGGCAAAGGACGTCAAATCTACCAAGGGCGAAGCCCTGGTCACCCCCGAGGCCTGCGTGGAGCCCCGGGACGCGAGCGAAGTCACCAGAAACAGGGCCGTGTCTTTATTGATCCAAGCGCTACCTCCGCTTGAGGAATACTTTGACAGCATCATCTGAAATATTAATTGTACTATTCGTAATGAAAATACATCAAATGATCATAAGAAAACAGATAGTAACAATAGGGAGGAGCTTGAACAGTGGAGGTGAGCGTTTAACGCGCGTTAGATAGGGTCTTAAACCTACTCCTGGGTCACAAGTCCCAGTCACTGTTGAAGCTCCTCTCACTACAACGATGGACTCGACACACGCACGGTGAATACATGTAATACTGTGAGATTTCGTCTAAGACAAATAAGTATTGACCCTAAATACCTGTATCTAATCAGCCTGGCCGTAGATACTGGTATTATAAGAATATACAGTTCCTCAACAAAGACAATTAAATGCTCCATATGTACTGTATTGCTCCATATGAAATATTATGTTGATAAACTATATTGTGGGGATGTATCTTGGGATTAATTTGCAGGTAGATTATTTTTAGCGAAGAAAATAAATATATTTCATAAATAATTGACAATATGGACATTTTCATAATAAATAAAATCATCGAGTCATATAAAGGATTAAATACGAAAATGATGCATTTAAATTATGCAGTTTACTCAAAAATTATTACATTGAACTAGTACAGATTTATTTTTACAGTTAGACTTAGATCCCTACTAATATTATAAATGCGAAAGTAACTCTGTCTGTCTGTCTGTCTGTTACGCTTTCACGCCTAAACCACTGAACTGATTTTAACGAAATTTGATACAGACATAGAATTGACCTTAAGAAAGAACATAGGATAGTTTTTATCCAAGACTTTTGAAAGGTTCTCTTGGAAACACGCTATAACCGAACTCCACGCAGGCCTATCTGCGGGCGGAAAGCAGTTACAAAACCACCATTGAAATACCTACTAACAAAAAATTTAAAAACATCCCAGAGGTCTAAAAATCCTAATATATATGATAATAGTGAGTAATAAACCATTTCACTGACCTCTACGTACTGTCCGAAGATGGCCATCATTTTATCCTCGTAATGTGTCGCGAGGGCTCGCACCAAGTCGCATGCTGCGCGGCGCCTGGTCTCCACGTCTGAACCTTCTATATCACGCCTCACATACTCCTCGGGGTTATCTTCAAACAACTCGATATCTGATTCTGAAAAATATATATACATACATACACTATCTTCCAATTAAATATACACAAAATAGATTATTTAAAAAAAAAAATTGTTGTGTAAATGTTGAACACCAGAATTAGGCAATACTTTGTTACGTACGCGTAACATTTTAAAACATAAATGAACATCGCCGGGGCAACATCATTGTATAGATAAAATATATAACGAGTGACTCCGCTGACTCCGCGGAACGAACACCAAGCTGTGTGAACCAGAAGATTCCTGATACCACATAAGTTATGGAATGGTATTGCTATCCTAACATCAGGACACTCATGTATTAGGTGTAGGTTATAAGTTTTAATATGTAATTCTCATTATAATATACATATATAAGTTTCTTAGTTTTCCTGGAGCTGATTGCCACCCTATACATATAATTACTGTTATTATATTATGATTAATGTTTCTGTATATTGTTAATGATCCTTTATATATATAATTAACATATAATCACCTCTGAACTCCATATTCGGTATAACAACCTTCTCACATATCTGACTGAGTGTGGCCGGATCTTCGAACAGATTCTTGTAACTATTCTTCTCAGCGACTTTCGCCAGAAACGTGAGAGCGTTGGACACTAACTGTAAGTAAAAAATATCATTATGTACATTAGTTCTAGGCTCTTGGAGTATGTGAGCGAAACAAGGAAAAAAACTACCGCACAAGGTACACAAATCTCAAGACGTGTTCGACAATATCATAATAAGCAATTTTTATTAAAAAGGCGACAATAATAATTTCAAAGAAATGCATAACAAAAAAAAAAAAAGTTTACATACTTTAGTGTAATAGCTTTTTTTGATTGCTTAATTAAAAAATATAGAAATTATAATCATTACTCATTACTTGAGAAATATTCTAGTATGGTCATTTGAAGAACTATATGCTACCAAATAGAGTGAAATTTATACATAACAAACATATCACTCCTTCAAGCATTATACATTTAAATCAGTGTGTACAAAGTTAGTTAACATTCATGACATTAAAAAAATAAATGTACATGTACATACATACACATACACACATACATACATATATGAACACTAGCTTTCCGCCCGCAGCTTCGCCCGCGTGGAGTTCGGTTATATCGCGTTTCCAAGAGAACCTTTCAAAAGTTGGGATAAAAACTATCCTATGTTCTTTCTCAAGGTCATCTCTATGTCTGTACCAAATTTCATTAAAATCAGTTCAGTGGTTTAGGAGTTAAAGCGTTACAGACAGACAGAGTTACTTTCGAATTTATAATATTAGTAGGGATACTCACAGCATCATATTTCTCCTTGGGTCCTGTATGTAACAGTACATGCCACACGGCTGTCACGAAGCCAGGTGCGTGTGGTGCAAACTCCTCTTCATACTTGAGGGCATACAACGACGCACACTCGCAAACTTCAGTACGCAGACACTCTATTACACCGGGCTTGTCATCCTCGTCCTGGAAAAAAATTTATATAATAATAATAATAAAGCTTTTTATTTCAGTGTAAAGTATGTTACATTACAAAGTGTTAGTAGATACTAGGTTAGGTTATAAATGTATTTCTATTTGTTCCTTTACACGAATCCCTTCCAGGTAAAAGCCTCCTCTAATTCCTTCCATTTAAAAAAAATAATGTAATATATATTAATCTTCATCTAAGAAGAGAATATTACATTTAGCTTTTTGATTCATACTGTATATGATATTAAAAAAATCAATATTTATAGCCTATCCTGAAATTCGCGAATATTCGTTGAAATATAACTTATATTTTTCGTATTTACTACGGGTTTATAATTATTTTCTACATACTTTTGACGGTTCGATTATTTTTCAGCAACCGTGATCAACAAAATGTATTATAAATATGTAAATCTTAAAATGAAATGTCTAAAACATTAAAAATTGTACTCACATCAACTAGACATGGCACTGTTACTTGTAACAGATTAAGTAGATTGGGCATCCATATTGGCATGTTATCCTCAAAGAATTCCGGCAGATCTTGATAGTTCAATGAATAGAACACTTTGCATATCAATACAAGCGAGCCGTAGATGACTTTGAGAGCTTGAGCATTACCTGCATGTTTGTTTGTCAAGTCTATTGTCACCTGAAACAAAAAATTATGAACTTATATACAATTATTATATATATAAATGTATTATAGGTTACATTTGAAACTAAATCTAGACTAAAAGGTTACAACTATCCAGATAATTAGCAACTATTACTGTAGACTTCTCAGACCCTGGCTAAAGCTGGGAAATTGCCAGTAAGAAGAAGACTGTAGACTGTATATATATAACATCTATTAGCGCCATCTATCTTAGTATTAAAAGACTATAGCAGTCTTCAAATAGAACTTAACATTATTAAGTAAAATAACATTACCTACTGTTATTTTGCAAACCAAACACAGCAGTAAATATAAATAGAATAAAAACTATACAATTTCTATCTTCAAAGATATTAATTTAATAAAAATTTACATACCACAAACAAATCTGTTAGAGGTTTGGCTATATTTTCAAGAACATGCTTAATTTCTTCCCATAATTTCTGCGATTTAAACTCATAACGATATCTCTTGAAGAGTGAGTGGGCTGTACGTAACACGCCGTTGATGACGTGGAAATCACCTGGTGACAAAATATAAAAACCAATATTAATAATCTTATATACAAAATTCTCGTGTTGCGGTGTTACACAAAGAACTCCTCCGAAAGAGCTTGACTGATTTTGATGGAACTTTGTAAGCATATTGAGCAGGTCTGAGAATCGGCCAACATCTATTTTTCATACCCCTAAGTCATAAGGGTTGTTCAACATTAATTTTTAAAATTTTTGTATAAATGCATTAAAAAATACATACAACCCAAAATTTTTATCACCAACCCCTATTCTTTATATGGCAAAACAATGTTTGCTGGGTCAGCTAGTATATACAGGGTGACTGGTGAATTACTATCAATATTTAAGGAGCATACTCGGTACATGATTCTCATTCGAATTATGTAAAAAAAATAGGTACTTAATTTTTGACCAAATTTCCGTATAAATAAATAAAGTGTGTACACGTTCCAAGTGTTCCAAGTGTGAACGCGCGCGGCGGCGTGTTGATACAACAACACGCCGCCGCACGCGTATGTGTGTGTGTACCTAATACCTAATCTGTAGGGTGTTCATACGATGCGTAATTAATTACATAACTTTTGGTTAACTTTACTTAGAAGTTTATTAATATTTATGTTATATTAATTTTTATTCTGTCATATATGATCGTCAAATATGACGTCCTCAAATATCGATAGTAATTCACCAGTCACCCTGTATACACACAAGAAGCAAAGTACCCTGCAATACTTAGTACATTGGATACAAATTAGACTTGAGATAAATCATCATATAACAAATTAATTAAAGAAAATATTATTCTATAAATATTATTTGAATAAGACAGAGGTTGGATGAAAAACATAGTTTAAATGACAAGCATACATATACAGCTGCGTGCAAAAGTATTAGGCACCCCTATTGTTAGTCACTATCTCATTATATTGCGGTCAAGTGTGTGTTTTATGGTTTAGCTATTGTATTAGCGGCAATTTTTAACCAAATTAAGATAAAAGAAAATATTTATGACATCCAGGTGTGCTCCTAAGCGGTGTTTCTTCGAATTTGCTTTTTTTGCGTTTCGGGTTATAGTGTGTTATCAGTGCTTGCAGTGAACATACACGTCTTCTACGCAACTATTCCTATCACAATTCTAAAGACTAACATTTAACGTGTTAATCATGCCGAAAAAATCTGAACTTAGTGCTGAACAGCGTCTAAGAATTAAGATTTTACATGAACAAGGCATGTCTCAGGTTAAAATAGCCCGAGAAGTAAAGTGCTCGCGATGTGCAGTTCAATATGCTATCAATCGCTTCAAAGAGACTGGCACCCATGAAAATAGACCAAGAACAGGCAGAAGAAAAGTTACTACTGAACGGGAAGATCGATTGTTGATTAGGCAGTCTCTACAAAACAGGAAATAAACTGCTTTAGAGCTCGCTGCAGCATTATCTGAGGCAAAAGGCAGCTCAGTGAGTGTTTATACTGTGAGAAGAAGACTTCTTAAAGCTGGATTAAAAGGATGTAAAGCAAGGAAGAAGCCGTGGCTGTCAGAACACAATAAGAAAAATCGGTTGGAGTGGGCACTCAAACATAGAGATTGGTCAGTGGAAGATTGGTCCAACATACTGTGGTCAGACGAATCTAACTTTGAGGTATTGTTATTTATTTTATGTACAATATTAAAACACATAAATGTTTTTAAAATAACGTACTGCAAGAAAAATAATAACTTTGAAAATAAATGTGTTTTTTTCGTTTGGCATAGGTGTTTGGAACACTCGGTGTGACTTATGTTAGGCGAAGGGTTGGCGAAGAATACAACCCAGAATGTGTGGTTCCCACTGTTAAGCATGGTGGAGGCTCAATAATGATCTGGGGCTGCATTGCTGCCGACGGAGTGGGCGAAATGGTGTTGTGTGAGGGACGAATGAATAGTGTTAAATACACTGAAGTTCTGGAAACAGCACTAGCAACGTCGATAACGCAAATTTTCGGTGATACAAACACCGATGGCCTGAAATTTCAGCAAGACAACGCCACTTGCCACAAGTCCGCGCATACCATGAAGTGGTTTACTGAAAATCATATTGATCTTTTGATCTGGCCACCACAATCACCAGACCTCAACCCGATTGAGCATATTTGGTCCATTTTAAAGAAAAATATCCGCAGGCACTCGATTAGCAATAAACAAGCTCTATTGGCCGCGTTACAGCAGGAATGGAAAAATATATCAAGAGAAGAATGTTTCAGGCTGGTAGAGTCAATGCCAAAAAGAGTGGCTGCGGTTATTAAGTCAAAAGGTGGACCTACAAAATATTAATTATTTTCTTAAAATAAACCATTGTAATCATAAATGCAGTTTTATTTACACTCGCTATGCTAAAACACCCTAAAACTTGTCTTACTGTAGGGTGCCTAATACTTTTGCCCATGGCTGTACATATATAAGTTGCAGTAACAGAAGTTAGTATTAATCAAATATCTATACAAATATATCATTTTATACCTGTTGCAAACTTTTCAACCATTTCACTGATCAGTCCTGGCCATTTTTCTGGGAAATCTGACTTTCCGATTATAGACACGGCATCACTGAATTGCCGTTGTATTGCCTCCGGAGACTTGAGCATTAGTGACACAATGAGAGTCTTGATGGTCGCACGATCTGATGCATGTATTCTATCAACACCATCTTCGTCCTATAATAAAAATTTTATGAATTAGTTATGCTTTTTTATATTGAGTAATGTGGGTAGATTACTTTATTATATTAGTTGCTGTCATTCAGTTTGTTACTTAGTCATACATACATGACAAAGTTAATAGTTTTGTTGAATACTACAAAAATACTAAAAACATACAAATGTAATTTAATAATCATTGAGTATAAGAAGTGACAATAAAACTGGCTTGTAATATTAATTATATTAACAAAGGTCACGTACCACTGGCCAATTCCGTTTAATGTAATTCTTGAATGTCACCGCAGCGGCTACCCTGATTGTCGGATCCGCTGTCTCTTTGTCTATGAGGTGAAGAAGTAGTATCGCGTAGTTCTGATTAACCTCTACACCTTCCAGAAACTTCTCAGCTAGAATAAAGAGTTAATTTTATATTTCATGATAGTTATAGCAGATTATCAAGTCAGTGATGGCCTAGTGGTTAAGAGGCCCGCCTCTCATACACGAGGGCGCGGGTTCGGTCCTGGCCTGGGCAAGTATTAATGTGATTTTTCCAAATTATATGTACTTTCTAAGATTATTAAGACCTCACTGATTAATGCTGATTCCCAAACGAGGGTCCATGTCAGGCAGGCGGCCGGTTGTAAAACAATTAGCCAAAACTATTCACAACATGTAAGGCAGACCCTGGCTAAAGCTGGGAAGTTGCCAGGTAGAAGAAGAAGATAGCAGATTATCAAATACAATATTTCAGACCGGAAAATTAATTCCCATACACAGCATAGTAAATAGAAAATGCAATGCTTTCCCTCCTTTCACGTTAAAAGCTGAGCAGAAATCTCAATGATGAATCGCGAAAATAATTTTAATACTACACGAATGTTAAGTAAACTTTGAATGTATATTAAAGAAAGATTGAAAACGTTATAGAAACTTAATACGCAATTAATATTTATTAAAATAGTGACATATCGGGAGAGGACTGAAGATACATTGAAACATGTCTTAAAATTGTGCCAATAATTTAGTTCAATACAATAATATCGTTTTAGGTTATATTTGACAGTCATAATTAATGTTTAATATGTTGAATCCTAAAAAACCGACATGATATAAGTAATTATGGATGTTTTTTGTTAACCAGCGAGAAAGCACATATAATTGTTTAGATCAAACTTACCGGGTCTTCTGATATTTGGATCAGGGTTCAGTGTCTGTTGTAAATATGTAGCCAGAGTTGATAGATTGTCTTCAGTAACTTCCATTGTGAAATAAAATAAAAAATACTAAATATTCTTATTGAAGCTCTCGAAATCGTTTGCAATGCGGGTTAACTCAACGACCGTTCTTTTTAACAAAATTTCGCAGACCATAGAATACTGCCGGTTGACAGTTATGATGTCAATTTAAAAGGGAACAGATAGTATGAATTGATTTTATATCATATGGTAAGTACGACTGCTTATTTTAGATGAGTGAAATAGAAAATAAAAAAAAAATCATAAAATAGTGAATTTCCTTTCATTTATTATGACTTTTAAATATACCAATATTTAAATTGTAGTATAAATTATTATGATACAACAAGTGCGTTTTGCATTATTTTGATTAATATTAAATACAATTTTCAGGTATTTTATTACACAACAACAAAGTGTAAGACGTAACAACATAATACTCGTGTGGTACTTTAGCACTGCTATATAAAAACAATGTGAACGAATTTTAAATGTTTTTAGGTATCACTTGAAGCTAGTTTATCAACTATAAAAGGTATTTTCAGTAATAATTGAAACATAGATAAATTACTTATGATATTATTTATAATGTATTAAATAGCAAAACAATATTTTTGTATAGTTAGGTATGTTTAAACCCAGTATTGATATTCTAAAACAAAAAAAAAGGGAGCTAAACACTAATTAGTAGTTAGTTACACAACCTGTTTTAACAACTTTAGAGTCATTTTATAATCTTAAACACGTAGCTCCTATATACTTATATGAATTTAAAAAACGTATAGTAAATTTTTTAAATCTTTCAGTATTAATTTCATTTGAAATACATATTTCGTAAATCTAACCATTGTGACAAATAAAAAAAACTACTCAAAGTGTTTCATTTTTAATAATATATAAAACAAGCTTATGTGAATATCCAACTGCTACTGTTAAAATAATCATCGGGTTCAAGTAAATAAATCATACAAAACCGAATAAAAAGTTTTAACTTCTGGCAGTTCTGTTTTATTACACATAAATAATTAAAGTATATGTCGGCGTCTACACACCACCCAAGAGAAACTGTAAACAATACTTTGATTGAGCGGAACGGAGTCCATCAGCGAAAGCCGCTGCCCGCAGTTTGTCAGCTGAGCTTCCCACAAGAGGGTTCCACTGGGCTGGCTTGAGCGGGGCAGCGGCGAGAAAAGCCAATGAAGAAAAACAGGACTTGGAAACTGTCGGACACTGGCTGAAGCCCACAGCTCACCATATCCGACAAACTACACGGACTTGACGGGGGCCTGAGATGACCTATGAGAGGGAAGAGCAGTCCTGGCTCTGGCGTGGCTCGGTGCACTAGCTGTTGTACTTCGCTCGCTTATCCGAGACGCTTTGGATAATTAATTTGTGGAAACGAATTAATTATTATTCTGGTGCTATATTTTGGACCTAAGACTAATTATACTTGAGTATAATAAAACTGTTATTAAGTTTAAAGGAACTTAATTCCTTTAACTATGGCTCATTCATCCACCTTCTTTCTTCATGTATGAAAGTTTATTTAAATTAGAGTAAAATAGTTGTTGCACAATAAAAAAAAATATTTCTGAAAAACCTCCAATCTTAAAAGGTTAAAAAGTAACATTGGTAGGAAACAGGAATTATTTAGATTTGGGAAGTGATAACACTGTCAAGAGAATTGTATAAATTTTTTAATACTGATAACACTCACTAAATCTCTTTAGTCAATACTTCTATAGTCTTGAATTGCAAACTCAAAATTAAAAATATTCAAGGAGTGCAATTCGTAAATTATTGTTTGGGTTATATTTTCAAGTGCTACAAGCACTGATTATTCTGTAAAAAACACTCAACATTCTTGGTAAGACCCGTAAGTCTATTAAAAGCTGACAAGGTTGGACTAGTGTTAAATTGTAATTTTGTTATATGTGGGTGTAACTGTCGTCGTGAAATATTGATTTGTGAGTTTTTTCTTCACGTCATCGTTTGACTAATATTCTTGGTTTCGTCGTTTTAGTGAAAATATCGTCATGTTTAGTCACAGTGACAGTCTTCAATTCATCAGTTCACTTAAAATTATCAAATGTCTTAATTCCGCAGTTAGCTAGAAACCCTCGTAAGTCTGTGTGTTTTATTCACCCTAGAGAAACGTTTATTACCTGGGTCAATTAAAAATCGGTGACAGAAAAATCAACATTAACCGTATATTTAATAATAATAATAAAATATTTATTGGTCAAAGTCGCACTTCAACACAATAACAATCTTATTCACAAATAAAAACATAAAAAAAACAATAAATAAAATTACACAAAAAAAATATTATAATAAGAAGCATTAATGATGCTTCTAAACTGATTTTTAGCAACCTCCAGAATAATAATTAAACAAATACAAAGTAAATCTAAACACAAAAAAAAACAAGCAATAAAACTTCTTACAATAAAATAATGAAAGTAAAAAAAAATTACAATAACAATAAACAGTCTTAGTGGAATGCTGAGTGAGATATCTATGTACAATGTACATGAGATGAAAAGCAAACAGCAAACGGCAATATTAATGTTAGAAAAAAAATATATATATATGTATAGGTAAAAAATATATAAAAATGAACACTTAATGCTCCATCTCAGTCGCAGTGTCTCCGCTAGTGCTGAGCTGTCATCCATACTGCTTGTTCGCACTAAATAATTCTAACTAATTATATCATTCAATATACACAACAACTTGTAATAAAAAAAAAAGAAAAAATTTACTCTTATGTATAACATAGAATCACAGTACTAAATCTAAAGTACTAATAATAATGTAAATGAAATATACTTTGTTTAAAACTATATTTATTTAAGTAAATCAAAATGAAAAAAAGTAACTCTTTTAATATCAAGTAAACAACAAAAGCATAAACCTATGAACTAAAAAAAACATGTTTGGGATTGGCTACAGATATATAAAAACATAAATTATCATAATAACTTTTATTAAGTTTCATAAACTTATAAATTTAAACTTATAATTCAAATACAAATAACTTTATATTTATGCTTTATCAAAACTTTGGCAGCAATTTTTTGGTTTAATAAAGATGAATGAAAAATGGGAAATGAATTCTTATAGTCATTTTGAGGTAAAATTGTGCAATAGGGTTGGTAAAATTATCACACTCTCCACAATCTGGTGAACCAATCCAATCTTCAGTGATTGGTTGCTTGTTAATTTCATTGCAACTGGGGCATTTCACGTGAAGCGGACAGGAAAAAAAAAAAGTGAGGTTTGGAAAATCGATCATATTGGGACCATTGATACTTCTAGTAGGTATGAATGTAAACACAGAATATTTTTTTTGTATAATGTATATTTCACAAGTTATGGGTATCTAAAGAATTGTCGTAATTTAAATATTAATTTTTATGAAGGTATTTTTTCGAATTAAATAATTTTACAATTAAGTATATATCTGTTAGATATGCGGATAGGGTCGGACAAATGAAAGGATCGCTGGCTAATCACGCACTCTTTATTGAACGATTATTACACTATATATATGGGTGGTCGCAGCCACACCCGAACTAATTATTTATACATACCTACATATGTAACATTCCTCCCCCTTTATACAACATCAGCTGATTTATATGTTTTTTATAACACGATAAAGTTTCTATATCCTTAACTAAGTATACAACTTTGCCTAAGTGTTTTATCACTATACCTTTACACCAAGTAAAATTCTTATTATAAATATTTTTTTTGTATAGCACAGTATCCTTTAACCTTCGGCATACAAGGTGAAAAAAAATCCTCACCTATACAACGTGGGGTAAAATTAACCCCACAAGAGATTATCTCTAATCTGTGTGTAAATCTTATGTAATAAGTTTGAATGGGTTTTTTGTGACGGGTATAATTAAATCTAATTAATGAAGTACAAAAAGTAGCAAATTAAACATTTATTATAAAAAAAACTTAAAAATTACATAACCTCTCCATAAATCTTACAAAATGTTATTAGGTGGAATAAAAAATTAACAAAAATATTTCTCATACTTATCTTAATTATTTTACTTATTATACTAAAACTAACTATATTTGGCTTTATAAAAAACATCACAATTAGCTCTTTATGGCTATTTGAGCGAGATCATTCGTCATGTAAATCAGTACAATTTTGACACATCAAATTCGCATGTTCCTTGCATATCGCGACATTACATTTGAAACATCCGTTCAGAGTCTTCCTATCTTTGTTTCTTGGACAGAAAGAACATCGCTGAGACCTTCTTGGTTGCTTTTGTGGTGGTGCTGGAGCTTCTTCATTCAGCATTTCACACACACGTCTTCTTATTTCTCGTGGTATATGTGGATTATCCTTTCTTTTCCTGAGGTGCTCTTCGATTAAAGAAAGTCCCAATCGCTTGATAAAGTTCTTCCTTAGATTGGTTTTGTTCCTTTCAATGCCATTATTCAGCATATACACAATAAAACCATTTATACCAGCATGGTTCAACATGGAAAAAAATACGGTAAGAGGCCAGCGCTTACAGTTGCGGGAGACATCGTATGTTCTCGCAAGTTTATCAACTACATCAACTCCACTTTTTGTCGAGTTGTAAAATGTGATGATAGACGGTTTTCTTTGGTCTCCGCTTTCTGGATCCACCTCATCATCATGATGTAATGAGGACATCATATGTACACATTTTCGCGGCTTTGGTATGTAGGATACAATAGTAATGTCTTTTTGAAATCCAAAAACAGATGATTTTTCTTCACGTCGAGCCTTGAACTGGAGTGGAATGCATGTCTTGTTCGACCTTAGTGTACCAACGGCAGTCAATTTGTGGTTTTTGAGCAAATTTTCAGCTGTTTCATAACTCATAAAAAAGTTATCCATGGTGATGTTTCTTCCTGATCCAGACACGCATCTCACCAAACGATCGACAACATCAAAAGGCTTATTACTCACTGTATAAGGACTGTTGTCAGGCTGTTTTCCACAATAAATTTCCAAGTTCATTGTGTAAAATGTTTTAGCATCCACTAACGCGTAAATTTTCAACCCATACTTAGCTGGCTTGGATGGTATGTACTGACGAAAGCTACATCTTCCTCTAAATGCCACGAGTTCTTCATCTATGGTCAAGTATTCATACGGTGTATAGGCATTCTGACAGTTTTTGACGAATATTTCAAAAATATCTCGAATTGGAGCCAAGCGATCGTCAGCCACTCTAGCTGTACGAGTTGATGAATCATCAAATCTCAAGCTATTTATCAAAAACGAAAATCTTTGCCTCGTCATAGTACTTCTAAATACTTCAATTCCTGTGCCGTCATTACTCCATAAGTCTATAAGACTTTGCCGACCAGATCTAAACAACCCTGCCAAGAACAACAGCCCAAAAACGGCTTTTATCTCAGCTTTGTCAGTTTCCCCGTATGTTGAATTAGACGTAGAGTTCTCCATTCTCAAAGAAATCTTCTGGTTCGTATTCTTCAAAACAATGTCAACGATTTCATCAGTGAAAAAGGTCTCGAAGCATTCTTGGTGAGTTTTTTTATGTCGAGCTGCATATTTACATCCAGGCAAATGAGTAATAAGATTTTCGGCCCTTGTTCGAACATTGGTTCGCGGTGGCGATTTATACCACTTTGTTCTTCCATCTTTTCCTAGATAAAATGGTTGAAGTGTTGATGTCGTATCATCTGAATGTGGTTCAATGTTTATTTCGGCATCTTCCACGTCCGTATCACTTGGAACTTCAGAAGCTTCGCTGATATGATCCGATTCGTCATCACTAGAAGGCAGAAAGATTTCATCATCCGACAAAGATTCATTTTCTTCCAATAAGGCCGCAGCAATACTATCATCCCGCAGGTTATTATTCATATTGACGATCTATACCTGAAATAAAAATAAAAAAGTATAAATAAAACACTTATTGTAGCTGTAAAAACATAAAAAACACATAAGTAGGTACAAACTTTTTTCACGACGACCCATACAACGTGGGGTTAAAAACACCCGGGAACCACTTTGGGCGCGTGTACACACGGCGCTGGCGCGCGCAACACTGATCCGACGCTGTGATTTAACGCGGCAATATTTAATCTCCAGCTACTGTGAAAATCAAGTTGTTTAGTTTCGTTTTAATATAAAATCAACACAATTTAAAAGTGTTGGGGTTAAAATAACCCCACCTTGTATGCCGAAGGTTAAGGTTATTTGTAAAATTATATTATAAACGGTTGGCCACGGAAATTACACATTAAAATTCACAACACACATAATACACAAGTTTTGTAGTGTTTATTTATTTAAGCCATCCAGCCATGATCACTATTGAAATTGGGGTGTTTTTTAATTTCAATAGCCTCGCAGATTAACCTTAGAAGCCCAATCATATTTAACTAGTCATAAAGCCCAATCATACGTAAAAATGACGTGTAAAAATAAAATTTCAGAGTTTTCCTATTTTTTTCTGTTAATGAACTATATTTTTGCATGAGTTATCATAATTGAAGTTTTAATTAATAAATAAAATACATTTTATGTTAAAAATACTCTTTATTAATACAATTATGGCACTTTAATTAAATCTTAGAAAAAAATCAACAAAAAATCAAGCTTCTAACACTTTTTTCTTAAAAATGTGTAATTATAACAAAAATCAACTAGTTTTAAATGTTTTCATAAAATTAAATCAACTTGTAATAATACTTTATAAGTCTCTTCGAAAAATACAGTCTTTATATACAGTCTTGACAAACATCAATATTGTATTCTCCACATACAGCCTTTTTGCATTTGCAACACTGCGCTTTGGTCATCCGCCTTTTTTTATATGAACAAAATCCACAATAACGTCGTTTCTTTGGTTCTGGCTCATCACTAATATTTCCCGGAGATGGCGGTACCACATTTTTTAAAACATTTGTTATATTGGCGCGCAGAGTCCTCTTCAAAGTAGGTGCTTGTAGCCGTTCTGGCATCCAAGGTGTCGACAGATCTGTGCTTAATTTTTTCATAAATTCTTTGCGGCTCATTGGTTTTTCTTGTTTATTTATCTTATTGTGACAGTATATTATATAGGAGTTCACAAACGCCATATTCAACATCCCGTAAAAGACCGCCATCGGCCACCTATTAGTCTTCCTGTTAGCAGACATAGATTTACACATCTGATCAAAGGAATCAACGCCGCCTTTTGTTTGATTATAAAACAATATCATGTCCGGTTTTCCGTTACTTTCATTGATAACAGCATTTTCATCACAGGAAGACAATAAAAATACCATTTTCGACGGCTTTGGTTTATAAGAAACCAAGGTCAAAGGGCCATCAAAGCAAAACATTGAGGATCCTACCGGCCGTGAGCGAGAATTCTTGATACCTGAAGAAGGTATCTCTCTTTTGTTAGACCTGATGGTTCCTACTATTGTTAGGTTGTATGGAGCCTGGAGCATGTTCTTAGCTAATGGGATAGACGTGAACCAGTTGTCGCAGGTAACATTTCTATTCGTGCCGTGTACTGTTTTAGTCAGCTCTTTTACATAAAACTCGCCCAGTGGTAAACCATTTGTTTTCGTACTTTTACCAAGGTAAGGTATGGCATCTATCATGTACTTTGTGGCAGCGTCACACATCATGGGGAATTTTATGCCATATTTGTCAGGTTTATTGGGAATATACATCCGGAACGGACAACGGCCGCGAAAACCTAACAATTGCTCATCTACAGTAAAGTTACTGCCAGGAACGTAGTTTTGTCTGCATTGATTGATAAAAATCTCCCATATTTTTCTCACTGGTAAAAAAGCATCATCATTACGAAGAGTTGGTCGCAGTGTTTTATCGTCCATTCTCAAACATCTTATTAAAAATTCAAATCTCTGTCGGCTCATTACTGATACATATCTGGTGCCAGAGAATGTAGCGTCAAACAACTCATCAGTTGAGAGGTGGTTATCTTTCATAACAGCCGTCAGAGTGAGAATTCCGACTAACGCCCAGATCTCCATTGTATTTGTATCCCTGTAGCTTGCTGAAATGTCTTTCAAATTTTGTCGTTTTACTATCATCTCGACGTTTGTCCACTTGACTATTTCATGAATTATCTCGTCTGTCATAAAAAGTTGAAAACAGAGCAATGGGTCAACAATATTGCGACACATTCGCGTTGGTCCCCTATTTGTGCGTATAATATTGATAGCAGAAGTCCTTCCCGTCGTACGTCCCTTTGTAGTTGACCATACATGGTTGTTTTTTCCACGTATTGACCGCTGAGGCAAACTAATAATTCTGTGTGAAGTCAATGAAGTTACCTCAAGATTAGGCGATTCCCGAGAAGCAATATTGTTATCGGGGTCCTCTTGCCTGCTTGTATCTTCAACGAAATCGACCATCGCGTCCTCGTTATCACTCCAGACGTCATCTTCAACTACACCATCTTCTTCCTCGGAGTCGGAATCCAGCGGAGAATAATCGTCATCATTTTCTAAAATTGTAGCTATTTCGTCCTGGTTTAGCCGTTGACGGGACTCCATTTTGTGTTAAACCTGAAAATATTAATATTATATGAAAAATGAAACGAAACAATACGATTAACTCAAATAAATTACAAAAATAAAAAAATTAGAAACAATTTCAAAAGTTACACAAAGCCCAATTATACGTCAAAATGACGTGCAACCTCTCTATTACAATAAAATGGCGGCACTTACCGAGATGACGCAACTGTGTCCTGCGAGGTCTCAATGGCTACTGAGTTGGTTCAGAAGTTAGCGGCGATCCGACGGTAAACGTGAAAGAGACAGAGATATTTCGCCGCGGTATACGTCAAATTTACGTAGATTGGGCTTCTAGGGTTAACCCTTGTACCGATGCTTCTCTTTGTCTGTCCGATGTATGACAAGCCACAGTCAAAATCAAGTTTATATACACCCGCTTGTTGTAAAGGAATGTTACTCTTGATTGGTCTCAAGAATTGGCTCACTTTCTTATGTGGTTTGTAAATAGTCTTGATTGAAACCTTCAAGATGTTGCCTATTCTGTCAGTAACTCCTTTCACATATGGTGTATCGCAGGTTGTCGCTCAACTGTAGGTGGCTTCATATGGTTATTGCGATGCTGGCGAGGCACGGGCAGGCTGTTGATGGTCAGAGCACGTCTTACATGCTGCAGCTCGGCCTCTAGGTGGTCAGCATCACAAAGGTGTTGTGCTCTCTGTAACAAATTTTTGCCAATGGTAGCTAATTGTATAGGGTGGTGGTGTGAGTTACCATTGAGATTCCTGATGACAAGTATATCAAGGAAAGCTAAAGAATTTTCTTTAGTAAACTGAATCTTGCTATTGATAGAATTAAGATGGTTCAGAAAAGGAGATGTTTTATTTTTATTTAATATTGTGAAGGTGTCATCTACATCCCGTTTATAAATTAAAGGTCTTATTGTGGGAGAGCAAAGGGCTCGCACCTTGAAGTCTTCCATGAATATATCTGCAACAACGGGGGAAACTGGCAAACCCATTGCTACTCCATCTACATACTTGTATTAAAATTCATCCTTCCACATAAGATAGCCAGATGTTAGGCAATGCTTTAACAGTTCTGCATATTCAATAGGCATATTTTTATCCTTTACCTCATCTCTTACAATCTCAATGCAGTCAAGACCAGGTAGATTAGTGAATAATGACTGTACATCGAAACTGACCATAATATCATTGTCTGTCAATTTTAGGTGTTTAATATCATTGACAAATTCTTAACAAATGACTTTGTGTGGCCCCGGAGTGGTGATAATATCTTTGAAAGGAATTTAGCCAGTTTAAGTTGGAGTTGGTGAATCAATCTGGCTTACATTTGGGCGTAATGGAACATCTTATTTATGGATTTTAGGTAACCCATACAGTTTCGGTGGTTTTGCACATATTTTTTTTCAATTATTTTTCCATGTTCAAACAATGAAACGAATACACCATTTTCAATATCATCACATCTTTCAATGTAAGGTTGTAGTGAGTTTATTGCTGGTCTGGCTTCTTTATTTCATTTTAATGGTTTAAAATCATTAGGATCAGTATGATGGTCGTCATTTTTATCAACATTATCGTCATCTATATCCTGATTAAACATGTCAATTATTTCAGTTTGTGTTCCAGTAGAAGCTGGCCTTTCATCACATGTCACATAATCTTCAAATTGATCTCCTATGTTCTGAAGATTATTCCAGTCAGCCAGTCAGCAGTCTAGACTCATGTCTGGTATCAGAAATCCACAGCTTTTGAAGCAAATTGATATTGTAGTCACAGATACACTTCAACAAGCCTTATCTGTCTTGCTAATTGCATGAAATACATTAATGGATGCAGCAGACTGTTCCATATTAGTTATCAGTTTCATAACTTCATTTCTGTAAAAGGATTTGAAGTTTTTTTATTATTCCTTGATTTATTTTATTGTATTTTAATAGGTTTATGGATGTGGAAAAGCTGATAATTAACTGTTACTGTGCAAAGTAACAACGTAAAACGATTAACCTTAAATGTATATACGTATAGCGTGCTAGCTAACGAGCGCATAAAAGTGGCACGGGCTTCGCATACAACGTCTGTTCGTGACTAATTAGAATGAGACGAAGTGCGAGGCTCCGGACACGACCGCAGGTACGCGGGCGCAGGGAGCGGTCCGTGTTACGTATATACAAAACTTGTCGTATGTTTTGTGTGTGTCGATTTAATATAAATATATAAAATTTATAATATAAATATGTGTTCTAACTATGAATTAAAATATATAATTATATATGTATATTTGAGATGTTATCATAATACTGTATTTGCTTATATTTATGTAAATATTTTGTTATTTATTTCTAAGCATAATTTATAATATATTAAACATGTATGTATATATAAACAATTATGTATATGTGTGTGATAAATATGTATATGTAATTGTAACTGTGTATGTTCGCCACAGGTTTACCAACAATTTTTTACACCAATACAATGTAAAATAGGTATCTATAATAATCTAGGGTACAGTGTAGTGTAGCTTAGATGTTTTTATGGGTTGAAAAAATTTAACTTTCACTGCTTTCAATGGCGGATTTATGTTGTGAGCTGTACAGTTGTCAATGAAAAGCAATATTTTTCGTTTCTCTTCTATCATTCTCTTGTAGACTTTAACGAGCTATCCTTTGAATCTCCTGCTGTCATCCATGCTTTCTTGCTAGCATCATAGTCTAATGGTAGAGATTTACAGCCAAAAAAACAACGAGGCTTTTTAGACTTTCCTGTAACTAATGCTTTAAGTTTTTCAGAGCCTGTCAAGTTTGTTGCTAGCAATATTGTTTATGTGCTTATACTGTGCTTACCACCATGACATTTTTCATTTTTAACACATTCCATGCCACGTTTCCGGCGAGATTCTTATCTCAAATGCACTTTATGGTAAGAAACGTATCAGTGTGGCCAGGTGATTTGAGTTTTTGTTATGCATTATTTTGATAACAATTTTAAGGATGCGATACATACGGTTTTTTAAAAAAAAAATCAAAATCACGGCATCGTGTAATTAGATTTATTTTTTACTTTATGGAATTATAATTATATACGATTTTAAAAATAAAACCAAAATGAATAATTAAAAGAAATTTAATCAAAACACACATAATTGGGAAAAGTAACGAAAAATATAAAGAACTGAAAATAAGGGTTACATAAAACGAAAAAAACAATGAAATCATTTAAAGGAACATAGTAAACGTAATTGTAATTGAGAATCATTATCAACTTAATTAAAAATAGAACATTAAAATATAAGAAATCAACAAATTAAGGATAAACTTAAATATTCGGTGCACATCAACTACTAAAAAAAAACGAAGTTTATAAATGAACTTTAAAGAAACACTATGCAAAATCCTGGACTTCCAACGCAGTTTTTGCATTCGTACAAAGTGGCAAATCTTTTTTTCTTTTCTTTGCAACTTTTACACTTATCTTATTACCTCTGTGATAGTTCTAATCTTATTACCTTTTTTTTGTCGCATCTTTACGTTTTCGATTTTCGTAAGTGTATGTCTAAGAGACAGTTTTTCAGCTGTTTGTGGTGGTTTTGGTAATAATTTTTCTAAAATATGCATACGAAAATCATGAAGATTAACTTTGGTATTATTATTAAATTTATTATACAAATAAAAAGCATTACTAAGACTCATCTGTAACGACTGTAACGTTAGTGCCACGTCCAGCACTAAATATTTTATTGACAGCCCGCTTACCTTTCATGGAAACGGCTCTTGGAGGATTGTAAGGAACAGTAGACATTACTATTTCATCCATGTTGTAAATTGATGTAAGAGGAAAGTTATGCTTGTCCATCAATTCTGCAAGGTTTTTGTAAATCACACTGGGTCATGTTAAATTTTTTATTCAAATTTTTATTTATGGCACATTCAGTTTTTTCATATATAATATAATAGGTTTTGGAAAGTTTCTTCGCATTTTTTAAGAAAATTCAAAACATTTTTTAATATAATGAGATCTAAGATTTTCGCGAGTACTCATTTAAATGAAACTAATATTTTTCGGATTTTACTTCGCGTTTTATTTTTGATTAGAAAACTACATACTCCCGACGTTTCGGCTACTTTTCAGCAACCGTGATCACGGGCAGACGAGATGTGAGTGTCTGTCAGTTGGTCTGGTCATTTTAACTCCTACCGCCATCAATTTCTTAATTTTCTTGCGTACCGCTCTGGATGCCGGCAAAATGCGCTCACGGTGTCTCGAGGTCCTGCGGTGTGGTCACGGACATGGGATTTTATATTTTTAAGAAGAGGATCCCAGGTGTTTGATAGGTTCCAGCCATCTTTTCTATTGAATTTCAATAGCCTCGCGTTGAGTTGTTTTTTAATTTCAATAGCCTCGCGGATTAACCTTGGTATATATCTGTCTTCACGAGCGAGGATATGTGGTTGATCAAATCTAATGTAATGGCCTGGTTTGTCCAATGCATGTTCGCACACTGCTGACTTCTACACACGCCTATTCCTGACGTCTGAAATGTGTTCCTTAACCCTTGTACCGATGCTTCTCTTTGTCTGTCCGATGTATGACAAGCCACAGTCACAATCAAGTTTATATACACCCGCTTGTTGTAAAGGAATGTTACTCTTGATTGGTCTCAAGAATTGGCTCACTTTCTTATGTGGTTTACAAATAGGTCTTCCGACTCTTTGCAGTGCCTGCGGCCGTGCCCATATCCCAGGCATCTGGTGCACTGCATGAGGGGGCTCTGGTCCTCCACCCTCCCCTGCTGCATGTCGATCTTCACTTTGCCTAGATCTGTGGCCCTTCTCCAGATGGTTGGGGACACGGCGAGCACAACGTTGCTTCAGAGAGGATTCCTCGCTCTTCTCCTGTACCTGACCTGAACTTGGCCGTTTTCGTCTTCGAGGCCACGAAACAGGTCCCTGTTCTGACTCCTTAGTGCGCTGACAATCTAATTAATAAAGAGTAAGTAAATTAAATATAAGA